CATGTGCCGTTCAGCAGTAAGTTATTGTAAAATGATGATCAAAACTTTTGGTACCAAATTTCTAAGGTTTTTTTTCCCCTATATGAACAATGGATGCTCTAAATGTATTTGCTGATCTGAAATGGTTTTGGAATAACTGTAAAACAAAGATTTATGTACTTTTATTTTTATAATAGTTAATCTTGACTAGTCAGGGACAAATATCCAGGAAAGCTTTGAGGCCGGGTAGCAAATTTCGCCTGGCATACGGCCAAATATCTAGGATAAGTTTTCTGGTAACATAATTTACCATTACAGATCCAAATTACGAGTCAATTGACTTCTTTTTAAATTAACAAACCAATTTTCCAAATGAACCTGATTGAAATTCTACTCTTAAATGCTTGGATAACATTTGCCCCGGGCGCCGAACGATATATTGGTAAACAATTTTTCGTGCGATGTTTGGGGCATCGTAGGAGGCTACGGGCTACGATGTTTATGTTTAGATTTTCTACGGGCATCTTGCCATTTCTTGTATTGGCCCTCGGGGCAGGCCGGGGCAAATCCGTAAGGACGCTGCTTGGAGATTGTACGGAAATCGTGCAATTCAGTGCAGGAGCCGTGCAATTCTCCGCAGCCTCCGCACGGAGCTCATGCAGCTTCCGTGCAGAGGTTTCGCGGAGAAGGTGTGGTGACCGTGCAGCCGCCGTGCCGTTTATGAGCGTTTTTTTCCCCCACGTTCACCGAAAATCGTCCGTTTGCTGCACGATCAGAGCGAGGCTTCCGCATGATGCCCGTGCGGGGGATTGTGCAATGCCACCTACGGCATGTCTACGGCTACGTGTTTACGATTTTTTCAAATTTGTATAAGTTCTCGCGAAACAAAATCGTAGAGGCTGTGAAGTCCGTGAATCTCAGGGCCGCCCCCTGCCTCCGCATGGAGGCCGCAAGGAAAAGAGGATATGGGCAGGATACGGGCTCCGTAGACTGATCGCAGGGCAAATGTAATCCAGGCATAACTTGGACCCAAGTTTTAAAAAATAAAATAAGCACATGATGAGCAGTGAAGCAAATCGATCTAGCTTTGTAAATATTCTATATCGTGTATTGTCAGTGCAAAGCGATTTATTCAAGAAGTGTCCAGGGCGAATGCCTTGTATACTAGTTTAATCCATTGCACTTCAACTCACCTTTACATTCCAAACAAACTAAACATTCAGCATAAACACTTATTCATGAATCGGGTATAACATCGTATGGGCGTCTACGTCTTTGTTTGATACAGAAATCGGGAATAGATATGTGGTGCCTATATTTAACTATTCAGATTTTTGCGTTTAAACGAGTGTTGTCATGCAATTTATTTGGCTTGAATTTGCAAATGCATGCTGTCGGTTTTTCTGACAGCCCCCCCCCCCTCCCCCGCTTTTATTCGGTGAGTCTAATGTGCTCAAATGTACAGTCAATAGTAATGATGATTCAACCTGTATGTCAGAAGAACAGCATTTGATACCCACTGTGACAGCCATCGTGTTCACCAGAGAGACATCAAGCATTGGCATTCGTGGCAGATTGGCAGGGATTTATGAGATGTGTGTTTCTTCTAAAATGTGATAAATCCTTTCGTTTTTTTCTGACAGCCTTTGCTCACACTACCAGATACCGTCCAGTGTACCGCGTATTATAAAGAAGATAATATACCGGTGCCTCTCTACCAGTATGCCAGTGGAACGGTTCCCATCTTTGCCTCACCCATCGTCACCATTACTGATGCGATTCCCACCTCCATTGTGGCGACCATAGAGAGACATCATACAGTGGCATTCATTGGAGATACACAAGGGAAACTCCATAAGGTTTGATACCTTCACAATGTAAACGAAATCATCATGAAAAATGTACCTGCTTATTTTGTAAGATGCCATGACAAATTAATGACAAAGATTGTATACAGCTAACTCTCTTAGTTGGCAAAATGCATATCTGTATACATCCGATAAGTTTTAATAATTTGTCATCTCACTAAACCTATTCATCCTATAAAATATTTTTTTTCCAGTGCACTTACCCTTCCAAATGGTATCTTTTATAAACAACGATCAAATTTACAAAAGATAGTTACATAGAATATGTTTATCATACAGATAATATCTCGGCAGTACCACGGCCCATAAAATAATAAACATGGTTATAGTAAGGTATGATTTGTATTCCAATTATATTACCTAAACACTAAAGAAACATTAAGTAAATAGGAAGATATACAGTATCGATATTTAGTATGAGTCCTGAATATCTAATATCCTAATCATGATTATGAATAACTACATGCTATGGTGACATGTAATAAGTATCGGGAATACTGTATGCCATCAAATTAGGTATAATTATGAAGAATTCAATGATGTTGCAATTGTAGGTGAGGGTTATTTATGCGTATTAATGAAGCCTCCATATTCAAATTTTGTTTCACGGAAACTTACCAGGCCTACATGTCACAAAATCAAATACATGGCCTCATTCCTTATATTACTGCCTTTACTGTCATACTAATCTCTTCCCTAATACCCTTCTCTTGCTCATTAGGAACAAAATAAATTACACCAAACCATATTTGCTTGTGATTCTCTAAATAGTTGAACATAGTGAACGGTTCATTCGGCTACGTATACGAAAATGTATCTCTTGGAGGTGGATCTGTCCTACAAGAGGTGTTCCTTGATGAATCGAAAGAGCAACTAACCCTTTCTACAAGTTCAGACCAAGTGTCAAAGGTAAGCATCTTCGGAAAGATATGATGGATATTTTGGCTATGAAAGGGAATAACTCAACAGCTGAAATCACATTCCATATGACTTCTGACGTTTTTGGTTTTTATTTATTTTCATATTAAAAATCAGGTGCTCACGTTGGATTTTGTCAACTGTGGCCAGTACCAGAGCTGTGGGGAGTGCATTGGTGAGAAAGGAGGAAATGATGGAGACCCTTATTGTGGATGGTGTACTCTAGATGCAAGGTGAGTGCATTATATGGGGCAGGAAAATGGTAGTTTATTTTACGTTCAATTTCTTCTATTAATTTGAGTTAAAGACATTTAACATGTGTTTTGTTGATTTAACTTCCACAGCAGGAGGATGAGGGATCCGAAGTGATGTCATACCTTTATAGAAAAAAACTAGTTCCACTTTTGCTATGTTTACATCTTGATTATTTATGAATGATTACGTGTATACACAAAGTATCTTATCCATTAATCTTTATTTATGTTTATCATTTTTCTTGCTTCCACGCCCTTTCCTCTATAAGATGTACAAGATACGAGGAATGCCCCTTCCCTGACGAGTCAACTCGATGGTTATCTTACAATGCCTTGCAATGTGTATCCATCTCAGATGTCCATCCTGATCATAGACTGCCTTCTCAAGTAACAGAACAAGAAGTAGGTGCTATTGGGACTTAATGTACATCAAAACAAAGAATTTGTGGACCGCTGAATATCATATTTCAATAACGATATTAAAAAGAACTACAGACTCGGCTTAAACTATGCGTCGATTTTACTTTGAAGCTCCAAGTATTAATTTCCCAAACACAATCATAATGCAATGTACATGTAGCCAGTTAGAGATGTATGTTTTTTTCAGTTACCTATGTCTTCAATTCTATTTGCCAAAAGTCATTCATTTAGTTTTCTTGTATTTTACACAGAATCGATTAAGTAAGTAATACTTAATATTATTAATATAATAAAAAATAGTAAGAGAAACTCCATGAGTCCCTACTTTACGCAATGAAGTCGTGTGCATGCTTATGCTCCTGAGATACAAATTAATGTTTAGAATTAGCTATCATGCAGGGAAATCATTAGGTTTGTCATTCATGTTCGAAATTATATTACCATGTAGTACTGAACATCTTTATAAAAGACATTCCTTTGCTATCACGAAGGCGAACATTTCAAAAAACATTTTTTTTTTTTTAACAATCGACAAACTTAAGACACAAAACGTCGATGAAATGAAATATAATGTTGGCCTTATTATATGTAAACAGTTTTGCAGCCCTATATAACGTACAGAGTATTCATATTTTGTATGTTTTTACATGTGCTAGATCACCATTACCGTTCAGCAGCTACCGGCCCTCAGCAACAGTCATCAATACCGGTGTGCCTTCGACTCCTACCAGGTCAATGCTTCTACTACTACGACCAATACAGTTATGTGCGTAACTCCTCCTGGGAGTGAATTACCTACTATACCAGATGAAGGTAGTACAGTATAATACATTTCCTATATTAACTTTGTTCCTCTTTTTTTTTTTTTTTAAATAATATTCTACAGTGCATTTATATGAAATAATTCTTCTCTTGGCGCATAATGCTCACTGATGAAGATCGCTGTAATTTAAACTTTAAGTTTGCGAAACCTCGAAGATATAAACAACGATCTTTTAACCTCAACGAGGGTTCACACAGTTCATCAAAGTTAACTACATGCGTGGCAAGCCAAGGAAAGCATTTTTTAACTACAAGCTGACGAACCTCGAAGTTAATTACATCAGCACGGAACATATATGTAAGCTGGTGGACCTATTATACATGTAAATTCATTACTTCGAAGTTTAAACGCATGCCCTAAACTTCAAATACTGTCGTTTTAGAAGCCAATGACTAAAAAGACTCTGATATAGAATAGGAGGATTACTCCGAGGTATAAAAAAGACACACATTTGTGGCAAACCATGGTTTCCCTTTTAATTAGCTTTACGTATATTTAGTACACACAATCTAATGAATTTCTCCCTTTTTCCATAGAAAACAATTTCATTTCACTTTAACTTTAAATGTTACTGATGTTATGTTGAGGGGGGGGGGGGGGGGGGGTGGGGCGGGGGAGGTAACGAGACCAAAAAAAAAAATCATGTTTATATACACACACATTCTGAAGAGAAATTCTTGAGAAAAAAATCCAACAGTCTTATCTATATCTCAGTTTTTTCCATTAACCACCAGCGGACCATGTAACATTGACACTTTCGATTGTCTCAACGGAAACTGGAGTAAGCTTCGTCAGCACGGATTTCATATCGTTTGACTGCACCCATCTTAAATAGTAAGTTCTTTGGTTTCTCCTTTTTTAATACGCCACCTTTAAATTTGATGTTATGATATAAAGTTTGTTTTTCTTTGCCTCACCAGAGGTTTTATTAGGCATACATGGTTTACATTCAAAGAAACGAATCAAACTTACATAATCACAAAAGGCCTCATTATTGGCATAACAAAGAATTGAAATCAAGTTTTGTTTTGCAAAGCATTTGCATCATCATTAACATAAGAACTATACTGATAGTTTTGTTTCCCCTTTTTCTTTTCCTTTTTAAAATAACAGGTGAAATAAACATAATTATATTCATAAACTGGGCTTTTCAAGGGTAATTTATCCCATACTTTGACTGACTACATACAAGATTATAGTATTTCTGATGATTGTATCAATTTGACAAACTTATGCTAGCTTAGATCAAACGAATTAACATTAAATTGATTCATTCAATGATATATGATTTCAATATTCCATTGTACTCGGTAACAAACTGAGGGCAAATTGCCTCCCCCGCCCCCTATCGCCCCCCATAATAATACTCTCCTATCGTTACAATTGCTATTAATCCAAACATTCATGTAACGTGCTATACATTTTAATTGGAGTTATAAATTGCAATGTCTATGAATAGATTGTATGACACGAGAAGGCCCGACACTTGTTTTGGCAAACATTGCTCTACGCTTTATTTCGTCAAATACACAGGGTTCGGGATTAGGGCTGCAATTGGGTCTTGGGGTCAGATTTAGATTTAAAGTAGATATTCATTGATTTTAAAAACTAACTTTATTTACATTTTTGCAAAGTTGAAACTTTGATTCGACAAGGTTATCAAGAGTCAATGCTTGGAAACATTCTAGGTAATGATTATTATAAATTACAAAACGCTGAAATACAGCCCCGGCATAGCACCTGAAGAGCTCTCCGAACGCCAATAGGGACTTTTAGATTCGCACGAAGACAATGGGGATTGCTAAGGTCGACGTTCTTTTATTGCACTGCCTTAAATGGATGTCACACGTATCAATCCACGCAAATCTAAAAGTCCCTATTGCCTCACTCTAAACCCCGCGCATGGTTTTATTTTGATGACAAATGCAGCGATACAACAATAAAGGAATCTGTCGCTTGTAATCAAAATAGGACGCCATTGTATATTCAGCTGCACACACCGAGGTATGTTCGGCGTTTCAAGAGGGAACAAATGCCGTCCTTAATATTATTCTGGGGGGTTTTCAATTGAATGTCTGGTTTCTGTGATTGTTAATTAACCCCTATCCTGTGTATTTACAAACCAAATATTTTAGTTATCAGAATCGGTTTCATATCCCCTTTTGAATGGTTTGAAATGCCATCACATTTTGTTACACTCAACTCATAATAATTTGAGAAATAATAGCTTTGCAATTATGTTCATTCTTTATGGGATGTCGTCTGCTTGGGCAGTATTGGTCCATTATGTGACTTTATTAAAACATCGTTATTTTTCTGGCGAATCTCTCGTATATTCCAGATGGTATGGAGGTGGTTGTTTTTGTATTTTTTAAAAATAAATCACCCGATATGTAGTTGACCTAAAACGTGTACGGTGGCCATCTGTTAGTTTTCTAATGATACATTAGTTGACATATTTGTGATTTTCTTTAAATTTCCACTTTAAGCTTATGTTTAGTTTAGAGTTGAAGTTTAGAGTTTGGTTAGTGTAGGATATTGACTGCGTCAAAATATATTTACCGAGCGTTTGCTGTACAATCTAATTTCAGCTAGGTAGGGGATCCCGCATGTAAAGACTCTTAATTCTGAGCTTCAAAGAATTTGAATGGCATCATTCTTTATTGTTCCAGCTATTTCTCGCACCTGTTTTTACTTGTTTCTTGCAGTTGTTCATCTTGTGTAACAAGTCCCTGGCCATGTGACTGGTGTGTTTATGACAACATGTGTACACGTGATAGCAGCTCATGTCAGCCGGGAGATACAGTGGTGATTAATGAAAATGTAAACAGATTTCTTTACCTAAACAAATCTCTCTCTCTCTCTCTTTTCTCTCTTTGAGTCAATATATTTAAAGGAAACCGAACCTCAAGAAATGACTTTACTTATGCTGAGATATCTATATTATTGCCCAATAGTCTACAAGATTCCCCACCAAAATGTATGAGAGAGGTATAAAGCAAGAATTATGTAGTTTCTCAGCACGACATGGGCATCGCCATTTTCTTGATAACGTGACGTACTATGCGAAGTCGTTTATCAAGTAAATGTATTCAAATTTATGGATGCTTCCTTGCCAGACGTGAGTGGTGATGAAGCATTTCATGTACTACAATTGCCAGAACGCAAATTGCATAAATAAGTCAGTGCTCTTCTGGAGTGAAGGTTTTTCATAAATGAAATAGATTTGTCAACAACAATAGTGTAGTATCTATAAATGAATTTAGTAATATTTTTCCCCTGTTATTTATTTTTCACCAAATATAATTTTCATCTTCTTAGTGATGATTTTTTCTCATTGTTAATTAAAGGGTTCGTTATAGATTTAAAAATTATTTCCAACTAAAGCTTGGTGCATCATACATGTACAACTTCAACTGGTACGTCACATTTTCAAGAAAATGACTGCGCCCATGTCATGCTAAAAGGCATCACATTATGTCAGGAATAGCTTCATTTATATATCTCTTTATACATTTTCGTAAGGAATATTGTACATCAAAGGGCAGCAATACATCTCATTTTTCATAATGCCTACACTTATTCTTTGGGGTTAGATTTCCTTTAATTATTCTATTGAACAGAACGTATATAGATTGAATGCGTATTTATGTTATTCGTATATCATGTCAACGTGTTCTCCTTTTTGCTATCACCACATTTTGAATTGAGGTTTTCTTCACTTTGGAATTTTAAGGTCGAGCATTGGAAAAACACAAACTTATATTCAAAATAGCATGAGATCAAATAACTGCGCAAAGAGATGTTTGGGAATTTTGCAAAATGCTAAGACATATCCTACTGAAATCAGTAAGCTCTAAATTTGAACATAAGTTGTGCTTTGATATCATGCCATTCAGTGATTCCGTGGGTTCCTTGCAATGAGATAATAATATAAAATACATACACAATTATCGATAATAAGCTACAAGTGCAATGTGTTTGATTATGTTTTTCTTTTGTATCCTATATCTATTTCGTATTTACAGAACACCGTAGGTTCTGGAAACAAAGGCCGGGGTTATTGCCCTCAGCTGGTGGCGACATCAGAACGGATTTTTATCCCAGTTAATATTCCCTCTAGTTACTCACTTCTGGCAAAAAATCTCCCTACAGAGCAGGTATATTGTATGAACATCATTCCATTTTGAGCTAAGATGATTGTACATTTAACATGCAAATATGAGAATATAACGTTATACTACTATTACTACTACTACTATTACGACTACTACTACTAATGATAATGATAATAATGGCGCATTCCTCCTCCCGACGCTCCATTATTATTAGCGGGCTGTAGCACGGTATTCGTCGCAGCGCTCAAGATTTGTTAAGAATTATTTCCTACCTGGTACTCATTTTTATAACTCACCTGGGTCAAGTGTGGCAAATGTGGAGTAAGGTCTTGCGACATGTATTAAATGATTAAATAGTGTATTATAATCTCTTTGTTTTCAAATGCAAAATTTAATCAGGTCCTGCCGTTTGATTGCATTCTTCATATTGATGGAGACGAGATAAGAATACCAAGTTCCTCCTTCAATGATAGCTACATCGTCTGTACTGCTGAAGAGGTGAATATGTGTTTGGAACCTTCGGAGAACGTTTATTTAATTACCTATCATCAATATTATTGATATTATGTGGATGAGAGTTATCCCTTAACCGAACTAGATTGATACTACCTTCAGTAACTCATATAGTATAAAGCGGTGTTAATTTATATATTTAAAAATATATAAAAATCCGAACGCCCTCAGGGCTTTATTGTAAACCAATTTCTTTCGTCATTATATTTATGAATATATATGTGTGTGCGGGTGTGCATATTTTAATAAAGGCGTCATTAGACGGACATTTGAAGTAAAAAGTGAGTCATTAAGTAGACATTGTCATCAGGATAATTCCGTGCCATCTTAACGCTGGTACGTTTTAATTTTCATAGAGAGCCTTTTTAAATATATATCTCACCCTCTATATATAATTTTACTTAAGGCGTCATTGTACGCACATTTGGAGTGAAAAGGTGAGTCATTAAGTAAACATTGTAATAGGAGGGCAATAATTATACAGACAAGTTTTAGGGTTAGGATTAGGGTTTTAGGTTAGAGTTAGGGTTAAGGTTACGTTAAGGGTTATGATTTTTATGATGTCCAAGTTATGTACTCGATAGGGTTAAATGGTTATATATATGCCTTCTTTCCACCATTTCTTTCTCCTTCCTGCCCTATATTTTCTTCCCATCTTATTCTTCTTCTTTACCCTTGGCACTTTTTTGTACCTCTTATCGCCATTTAGCTGCTTCTCCATTTTCACCATTTTTTCTTCCCCTTTTTTCTTTTCTTACTCCATCTTCTGCAATGCCTCAGTATTTTAATAAAAATCCAATGGCAAGGGTGCATACATGTATCGTATGATAATAATAACGATATGTCCACTGATATAGCGCAGGTACTATTTAAATATACTAATCTACGCTACAAAGTATCATATTATTACCCCGGCTAGTTTTCAAGGAATTGTTTTTCCCACCTGGCACCAATTTACTTCAGTTTGTGGATCCGTAGTCCGGTGACATATCCATTAAACCATGACCCCTATCATGTATTTGGAAATGATTGCCCCGACCTTTTCATCTATATATCATCTTTACCTTCATTTATGCTAACGAAGGCATTCTCATTGCACCTATTTATCAATTCAAACTTTACACTATATTTGTTTGAACCTTTTATTTCAGTACATGTACAATGAGAATATCCTCGAGAAGAATGTAAGCGTCTCGGTTCAGTGGAATGGGCAACACGACATAGATGATCCGACAGACACTTATGGTATGACACCCTTTTCGTTTTGTACCAAACATTCTTTCATCAATTCAAAAATATTCTTTGGATATACGATCAAAACAAAATGTCACCTCAGCCCTTCTTTAAAATAAAATAATTATCTCAACTTTCTAATGCATGAAAATGTACTTGTCCTTTTTTTAAAACTTAGATGAAACCTTATAAAAGAAGCCAAGCCTTTGATTTCGTACAAATCTACTGTTAATGTTAGGAAGAAAGTTGAAAAGAATTTCGACCAAATTAATTACCATTTATAATTGGAACATCGCCTATTAGGCTTCATTTGCAAATTCAACTTGAAAATACTATTATTTGTTCTGAATCATTTTATCATAGCTCAGGCATATCATACATGCATCTTGAAAAACGCATTAGACTAAGGGAGTAATTATGTTCGATTTAAATAGAAATTTACTCCCATATTCTCCCTCCTATTTCATTGAAGTGACCCTGTACAAGTGCTCGGTTAACAGTGGAAGTTGCAGCCAGTGCCTGTCAAAAGAAGTGACTCCATCGAACTTAAACTGTGGTTGGTGTGATGATGACTGCAATGTCATTCAGAGTGATGTTTGTCAGAATAGTCAGTTTCTCAGCCAGAATGAGACCCAGCTCTGTTCAGCACCAGTTATCACTGACGTAAGAAAATAATATATCACTATCCGATTCAAAAATACTTACGTGATATATTATGCAAGGTCCCGTAAGATATCATATCATTTTGGTTTTTATTCTAATTTGTTAATTCTAATAATATATGAGATATGTAAAGTGTCAAATCAAATTGAAATCAAGTTGTCAATATGCACGAAATCATTCATTTTAGTGCGTGATCTATGTGTAATAATTTTATCAATCATCTAAAGTCTCAGTTACTTCCAAATATCAAATAGTCATTCGTGATTATTGTAACAATGAATAAATTAATTTTATAAAATAATGTGCATGTGTTTTTAATAATATTGTCGTGTTTTTGGTGTTTAGTTTTATCCCATGTCAGGTCCTATCAATGCTCAAACGAGACTAGACATTAAGGGAACCGACCTAGGAGTAGAATTTGATGACGTACTGGAAATAGTCATAGGAGACCTTGTGTGTAATCTGACTGACATGGGCTCGTTTTATCAGGCAGGACAGAGGTAAAAGAAACTAACAAAGCTTTCATGTGTTCGATGTATTCGTGTTAATAAACGTCTCATGAATGGCCACAGAATGACTACTACTATACCGGATGATGACTTTTATTAGTTCCTCCATGAACTTGCCGTTATCACCGAGAGTGCTAAAATGCGGAATATATGTTGGCAATACCGTCTGCATCAAATGGTTCACTCAGTTGATATGCTCATGTACTCTAATTTGGCATCCCCTTACATATATACAAAATTCTATTTGCTATTCAACACATAAAATGTGCATGAACGTTTGAGTTTTTTCAAACTTTATGATATCATCGCGTGAATATAAGAAAAACGTACATAATAAAACCATTCAAAAATAAACAATTTTGGCTGCAAAAATTGATATGTCAAATGATCGTTTGTCTGATTTCTTTCTTATTGTCAGTGTGAGCTGCATGACTGGGATATCAAATGAACTAATATCAGGACGCATTGGAATCACAGTTAGGTCTGGTGAAAGTACTAAGAACGGAAGGAGTACTGCAGAATTCTTTTACAGGGTAAGCGAATAGCAAATCACATTGATATTCCAATTTACGAACACATTCCCGTTCTAATTCTTTGAGAACCATTGCCGCGGGCTTTTCGGTTGATTAATGCGATGTCATAATATAATACGCAAAAATGTTGGTGGACTTTGAAATATCTTGATTCATGACTTGTCAAAAAAACTGTTATAATAACGCCAGTCGTGCCAGTGAAGTAATATGAATGGGCCAATAAAACAATACAAACTTACAGGTAATGTTACCTCTTCTGATATTTCTTTGACAACAATTCTGTTTTGAGGTTTAATTGGTATTTTCCCAGTGAACAGTTTATAAGGCTTTTCATAATAACGTATTGGGAATTTTCCCTACAAGAATGAATAGATATTATTATGAAATATCGAATTCTAACATCGGGCTTTGAGAGGAAACTATTGTAATAATTGAATACAACATGAAAAACGATTCAGCTATAACCTACTTCGTATTGATGTGTAATCCTCTGAAATGATTTATACGATTAAGTAATTTTCTTGCTATAGGATCCCATTATATCAGGGTTTAGTCCCATGGAGGGGCAGGTAGCAGGAGGTGCAGAGATCACAATTACTGGGATGTATCTTAACACCGGGAGGAACATTGAAGCTACATTTGGAGAAGCACAATGCACACATTTGTGAGTATCACTTATATATATATATATTATGTACCTTAATGGTCAATTTTTTCTATAAGTTTTCAGTAGCATTTATTGTGTGTTGATAGATACAATTGTAAGATTGCAGATGAACTGGTAGATGTACCTCGAACTGCATTTTACTGACAGGTGGATATTTTTTTATGTAAAAGGATTATGGAATTTTAAAATTTACAATGTAATCACAATCACCAAGTAGAATTCAGAAAGACGCACGCACACATAAACACACGCACACACGCACAGACGCACACAACATACACATTGCACCCACGCACACATGTACTTGCGCACACCTACACTGACCGGCCAGGAGAAGTGAGTCGCATTCATAAACATTACCAATACATATACTTAACACTAAAATATTGAAACACATAAGTATTCGGAAGTTAAATACCCCCCCCCCCACTCTTCCAGCATGATATATAGAGCTGTAATATAATGAAATGTGTTCAGAAGACAGTTCTAGCATTCTGATTTGAATGATTAATAATTTCGATGAGCCTGTTTCTAAGACATTTTCATAGATAGTTCTTATGTATAGATTTTTTTTTCTTCAGGATTGTTGAAGATACGACAGCGACTTGCGTCACAAGCAGCTTACAAATGAATGAACAAGTCTCTGAGTTCTTGACCATGACATTCGATGGAGTTGAAAAAACTTTCGAAGACTTCACATTTACCTACTACCCAAACCCAATTATCGATGGCATTGACAGAACTGTGGCTATCATGTCGTAAGGAACAATATCTTTATTCGCGTGTCGAACTGGCGGGAGCCTTTTCAAATACTAAGACAAATGGATCCTCTTGCTATTCTTAATCAATGTATTTTTTGGCAGATATCTTATACACAAAATGTAAAGAAAATATGTGTAAAGTCAATAGTTTATATTTTAATTGAGCGTGTAACGAGGTGTATTTTTGGGTTCTGTGAAACTCTAGTGGGGACAAATAGACAACAGTGAACGAATGGACTGAAAAATAAGTATTCTCAATTGTATCTAAATATCTCTCCACTTTACAATTCAGATATTATTGTACATCTTTCCCCAGATAATCTTTTAAGTTTGTGGTCCATTCCTCAAGTGAGATTTTTAAACATAGCTGCGTATATGCAGTTAAAATGTTCTTTCAATAGTTTAAATGAAACATGTGATATTTCTTCTTTTGATACAGAGGAGGTCTCGATATCAAACTAACAGGACAAAGATTTGATGTCATCCAGGAACCCCGGATAATAGTTTCGTCACTTACAACAAATGCTAGTGACTCTGAGGTATGTATGTATTACTCTGCTCGTTGTTGTCTGCTTTTTCGCAAAGCAGACATGGTCTGCTAGTGTACAAATTGAAAACATATCATGCAATATTCAGACCGTCAACTTCCCAGGAATCGAAAGACCTCGAGAACGACAGACGTCAAAACCCTTAGACAACTACTTGAATCATTTTCAGAGGGTTCGCTAAACTAACTATGTCGGTCTCGTAAACTGTCGGTCGTGTGGGATGATGGTCCCGTGGGATTCCGATCAACTGGGATGCCCCTTTTGTCACATGAATTTGGCTTAATCGTACCGCTTGTTGTTGGGACGCTACAATCAAATTTCAATACTTATATTATTTTATGATTTATATGGTACCGTGGAAATTAATAGCGAAACATTAGATCTTCTTCCGGTACTTGATATAAAAGTCGCTATGAATAAACGTTGATTTTTTTTTTAAATTCAAGACATGTCGATTTATGTTCTACAGCTCTGCAATGGAACGGAAACTCTTCTCATCTGTCCAACCCCAAGCTTTCCTGACGAGGGTATCTCTGCCAGAAGAAGACGAGCTACAAATGGCGTTATGACAGCAAATCTGACCTTTGACTTTGATGGATACATCATCGATGACGGCTTAATAGAGTACTACCCAGACCCTATGTACGAAAGCTTTATTGGACCAAACAGAATCTATGAAAGTGGGAACAGCCGGCTTGAGATCGCAGTGAGTCGTTCCCGTTTAATCTAAAATATTTATTCTAATTATCGTTTCACACTTTTTCACGAATGAAACAGTGGCTTTCTAGAAATGTAATTCTGTTGTCATTATTGAAAACCCATTGACTACTGACTCTTCTTATTCCTACAGGCTAATTGCAGGAGCCACCTGGTTCCTGTAGTCAATGGATTATAGAATTATGCATTATCATATGAGAGACTTGAAATTACTGTTTCCTCCCCATGAAAAAATTAGTAATATCGTTTATTGTGTATTTTGCCATTTTATATATTTTTTAAGTTCCCATCCGAACCGCCGAGTGAAAAAAGGGTATTTTTGTGTGTTTCCTGTCTTTATTTTTCCGTTCATTGCACATGCATCTCTTGGGGAAAGAGAGTTTGACGATCTAGTAATATGAAATAAATAAATAACCTTCAATATTCGTTATCTGGCATCACTATTGAGAATTAACATTAGTAGGAGAACTATACTCCCGCCTAAGGCTTACCTAAACTCGTCAGTGATTGAAAGCAATGTACTGCTATTATCACAACATATCGTGTATATTGTGAGTGTAATTTGTGTTTTCACTCATTGACAGTGTCTGCTAAACTGTATACATACGCTCCTTGCACCAATTATTTTCTTTTCATTTCTAGGGAATGAATTTGGACTTAGCAAGCACAGAGGATGATATTCAAGTTTTGTTGGGTCCCGATGGAGTTTGTGATGTTGATGATCTTGAGATTGATGTATTACGATGCCAGCTACCAAATAAGAAGCCTCAACCAGGAAACATCAATGGTACAGTGGAGCCTGGACCTACCCAAGATCTACCAGCTGTAACGGTATGTCTTTTTACTTATCTAACTAATTTCCTATCATCATTTTACTACCAAAAGATGTCTAACTTACTTATTTCCAAAATTTTGGGGATGAATTTGTAAAAGATTCCATTTTGAGGTCTAATCTGAATGTATGTATTTGTATTTTATTCGTATTTCAAAAAGAACTTTGAGATTCTCATTTTTAAAATGATTTCAAAATCGTAAACATAGTTAAATTTCTTTCCCCCTATAAAAACAGTTACTGATTACGTCCTACCTTTGAATATTAGAAGTAATTTGTTACAAGAGTGTCAAATATTTTGTAACCCTTTCTATTGGCTACTAGTATCGAAACTCGATAGTGTAACAACACGAGTGAACACTTCTCCTCTCAACTACCTGATGTATATTTCTCAATCATTAGGACAGTGTTGACAATTTGTGTACGATTTCATTCGTCTTTTTATTTTCCTTTTCCGAATAGTCAAATCAAAATGAAAGAGTTGAAATTATTAGGACATTATAAGGCTTGTGAATAACAAAAAATGTTTTCGATAGGCTGGGAAAATTTGAAAAATTTACAGCAAAAATTGATCATCTTTGATGACTCTTACATTGAATGTATCAAAAAATATCAATCAAGTGTCACTTTCACATGAATGCACATGATGATCGGATGATGATAGAAACCAATCAATCATTTAATTCAATTACAGGTTATCCATGGAAACTTGGTATTCTACCCTGGATACGTAAAGTACTCTACGACGTCCATCAACATCGGTGCCATTGTCGGTGCTGTGATTGGGACCGCTTTGCTCATCTTCATCCTCGTCATCATCGGCGCCATCATCTTTAGACGAAGTCATCAACGATTAAACAAACAAGTCCAAGTGTTTGAAATGCTGGAGAAGAAGATTCAAGACAGAGTGGAAACTGGTAAAGTTGACATATTTCATTGTTTGTTAGAAACGCTATCCTTTTTACTGTAACGGAAAAATTCTACACCCAAGGATACAATTCATTAGTAATAAATGATTGTATTATGACAATAATACATATTCGGTGTTTCTCAATATAGTAATTACTGTCATGTTTCGCTAAAATACTTTGATGACGCAATCCCTTCTTTGCAAATAATTGTTTAAGTTGGTCTTGCATCTCCCGCCAACATGTCTCTAAACTGGAGGAAATTTTCAGGAACATGTCTGCAAGATGACCATTTGTGGACTCTCAATCCAAGAAGTAGCGAAAGAAGTAATATTCCTCTCATTGTTTTACGTGTTGATTCATGTGGATGAGATTAGGTAAGTGATTTCGAGTGACAACTTGCAATCAATTTATTGAAGGTCCATGTATGTCAAAATGGGCAAATTTATCCCAAAATTTGTAGTATTTGGATATTATTGATCGATTATTTTACTCTTGTTTAATATGTTTGTTGCAGCTTTTCATGAACTACAGGCTGACATGTCTGAAGTAGAGGAACAAATCAGCCATCTTGGTGTACCCTTTGTGAATGCACTAGATTACTCCAAGAATATGCTCTTTGCAGGACTGGCTGTTTTACCACCAACCACGGATCCTGAGGTATATATTTATTCATTTTAATGTGGCCTATTATCTTGCCAAAAGACATTAGAGTCGGGTTGAGATTCAGCTGAGCACACAGCCATCTACTACAAGTTGTTTGGAAATGTCTGAATCCCAATCGATTTAATTATTGCTTGGAAATTTATTTACGGTGGGATATAAACCACATGTTTATGAATTTGAACATTGAAGAAAGGAACAAGATGATTGGAATGGATGGATTTGCGAATGGTCTGTAATCAGAACCTCTTTCGACTCTTCATCTTCACAGTCTAACCAAACGTTTTGAATGAATAACATAAGCTTTGCAATTTTCTTGATTATATTTACAATTGTTTTTAATCTGCAGTACATGAACTCTGACCTGGAGACTGCAATGATCATGTTCTCTAGACAACTCGGCAATCCTGACTTCTTGACTAATTTCATCAAGCAACTTGAAGAACAAAGAAAACCCAAGAGACGGGATAGGTTTGTAACAATCTAGTGCTCTTTAGATTGCCCAAATCATTATGTTAATGAAGTTATGAAATGAAGAAAAGGGTTTTTATCTGTAAATGTTTGTTTAGTCCTCACACCCTTATGTCTTATTAATATGTAGCATCCAATTTCCCCCCTGATGTTGTCCTTTCTCCTGTTCCCTTCTCTGTCGGTCTGCATACATGTCCGTTTGTCCACCATTCTCTGCCTGTCTGTCTTCTGTTTGTCTATTTGTGTGTGTTTTTCTGTTTCTTTCTTTCACTCCCTCTCTATCTCCTCGTACCTTTATCTTCTCTCTTTCTCTTATCTTCTCGTTTCCTCCCTCATTGTCTCTCTCTCTCCATCTGATCTGTTGATCACAACTTCTTTGTTGACAATAATCGTCCTTGCTTTCACGAAGTGACGGTAGTGAGGAAAATCGTAACGCAAAGTGAATGTAATTATTTTCCCCTACCGTCACTTCTTGAAAACAGCGACGAATTGTGTCTGCAAAATATTAATGGTAATCAAACAATGCACACATATGAAGAAGGAGAAAGAAAGAGACTCTCCTAACTGATAGACATTTTCTTTTGGTCTATCATAGAGTCAACATCGCCTCACTGATTACCGCCCTCTTGGTGACTGAAGGAAAGTTTGGATATTTCACAGAGTGAGTACAATATATCACATCCACATCTTATGATAGCGCTTACAGCTACAAAGGTGTGATTGGTCGACAGCTCGTCACGTGATATCTACTGCGAGGATCGTAATTTAGGATGTTGCACCCCCAGTCATTTTTCTCGATCATTTGTCGATGGTTATATTGACCATAGTTATGATCAAATTGGTACATACTTATAACCCCTCGGTGAACATATAACTTCATTTTTGGCGGTCCAAAGACAATACCCTATCAGGCAATATCTTTATATTTGTAATATGATCTACTGTGCCTATTCTTTTATAAATTGTGTGTATGTTGAAAGTTATTTTCAAGCTTACTTATTTACAAACAATTCATAGAATCAAGAGAATAGAAATATCATCATTATTAAGATTCTAATTGCTACCGAATTCTATACCAATTGCAATATACATGTTGAAAACTATGAAAAATAGAGCTATAGATGGAAATATCCTCAAAAAGGCAATTCGCTAAAAAGGGTTTTGAGCACATAACCAAATGATAAACTTGTGCAAATTTCATCGACTCTACTTTGCCAACTAATGGTCGCCAGAAAATGTATTTGATTTAGGACTCATGAAAAACAAGTTGATGACAAGATTTATTATAGAAGAGTGTAGCTGTTGTATACGACATTACAAAGATAATCATGATGATCACTAACATGGTAACTGCAATGACACTCAGACTTTCATGTTGATAGTGAAGAGAATAGCGATAATTTCAGTTGAAAGCTTAGATTATTCATTCTTATTTGTTATCTTTTTGTTAACCATATACTATCTCTCATCTAATGACGAAAGAAATGTGTGATATTTGTATTGGTCTATTTCTTGACAGGACTCTGTTCAAGCTCTTGGAAGAAAGTATTGAAGAGGGGGCAGAGAGCGGTAGAGCAAGGTCACTCTTCAGAAGGTTCGATACATTAAGAAGTTCAATTAGTAATACTTCAAATTAAAGATTATCACGATCGCAAAAAAATGTAAAAAACAAAATCAAAATCAATGCAATATCAATAGCATTGCCCTTAAGTTGATTTTTCTAAACTCATTGCAATCGTGTTGTTTAAAAAAGTAAATATAATGTGTAGGTTGAAAAGAATATATGCTGTGTAGGTTGCTTAAATTAATAAAACTATTTTGATATCTTATTGAAAGTCATTTCAATATTTTTGTCTTTTACAAATAACCATGACTCACTCTAATAACCTTGCAAAAAGTAGCAATTACGAAAATTTGTTGTCAGATATAAAACACTTCTTTCTTCGGAGGCAAGAGCACGTTTCTTTATTATACAGTCTTTAATATCTTACTTTGTAGTACTGATGTCTAAACCTTTTTCTTTTGTATCTACTGTGATGCAAGTATAATGAATAAAAATCACTTTAAATCACGATTTAGCATCCGTGTTGAATATTACTTTAATTGTATTTGTTCAGGACTGAGACCATCGTTGAAAAGCTCCTCTCCAACTGGATCTCCCTCTGTATGTATCAATATCTGAAGGTAATTAAAGTTTTACAAAATTTCATTAGCATCGAGTATAATAATACGCTTATACGTATATGGGAAAGTAATACCAAACCCGCTGTGACCATTTTGATGGTGTTATACTTTAGACATGGGATCAAACTAAAGAACAACAAAATACTTTTAAATGGGATGTATCATGCGTAATATAAATGACGGTACAAAGTGAAATGGTTCATCCTCATGATACATTTCACATAAATGCCAAAATCTAGTCTAACCAGAATTAAATAAAATATTGTAGTCGTGTCGTATGTATATCACGAATTATCAATGGTCTCACATCTGACCAAGATGCGGGTCAAATCAAATTAATTCAGATTCCAGGATATCGTGCATAACGTTTTCGAAACATCTATTACTAAATGTAAATTTTGCTACAATATTTCTCACATTTAACGAACAACATCAGGTATAATAGTTAATTGTGTCATATCATACTTCAAAAGATTACAGAACGAAAATTTGCTTTGGCTTCCAATGTTTATTTTTATACCCATATATTTTAATGGATCTAATCGTGTTCTCCGCGTTGTATATCTGAATAAAAAAACACAGAGGCAAGTGGCTGAATCTCTGTACCTGCTGTACCAATCCATCAAGATTCAGGTTGAGAAAGGACCTATTGATATCACCACTGGACAGTCTGTATTTTCTCTAAACTTTGAATGTCTCTTGGAAGAAGAGGTGGAGTTCAACGAGTTGGTAATTTAGCTTTTTAATTGTTTCTGAGAAGAAGGGGGGGGGGGGGAAATCGATTCTACATTTCATTGTATTAAACTTGTGACTTATATTTTTAGGTTCATGATGTATCACGATGATGATGACTTTCAAACAAGTCAATTTGAAAGTTAAGGCATTGTAAAAGGCAAAAATTGCGTTATTAAACAAAGGTTAATTTGGACTTGGAGAGAGAGAGAGAGAGAGAGAGCGAGTTATATACCCGATTCCTTAAACATGACCATTGGTTGTTGTTGATGAAAATGATGGTGATGTGAAAACTATAAAGCTTGCGAAATCAACGTGGACAAATACAAAATTACGGTACAATTAGTACGTTTTTTTAAACGATAATGTGAATGCAGGACCTGTAACAGACATAATAAATGGTTATATCATGTCGTTTAGACTTCAAAAGCATACGGGCGAGGCATATTTACTGATAATTGATAAAATGGCTCATACTCATCGATCATTTTGGAATAATTTCACAGACCTTGTCAGTAGTGGGCAGGGACAAGCACCACAAGTACTACGTCAAGGTTCTAGATGTTGATTGCATGACTCAAGTCAAGCAGAAGATACTGGACGCTGCCTACAGGAACAGCCACATTGTACAACAGAACAGAGCTCATGAGATGGATCTTCGTGAGTATGCCATTGATCCTCGACTTTCTTAAAGTTTTAAGAAAAAAAAAAAATTCTTAAAGTTTTAAGAAACCTTAAGCCACTTCAGGAGGGGGGCTTACAGTCCTCATTAGTACATAGGATAGAATAGAATAACATCGCAAAGATAGGATCCCCTGATAGGCGCCCCTGTTATACATGTATTTACACGCTAGTCTCTCTCGCTTTGTTCCCTTAGCTTCCGATTATTTTGTCAGATTCTGGCTTTCTGTTTATTATTGCTAACATTATGCTTCCTTAAATGCAAGACAACAAAATTTAATATGTTTGCATCACGAGGAAAGTAGTCACATTTCTAAAGCGCATACTATTACGGTTCTAAGCGCTTCTCGTGTAGTTATTAGTACCTCAGTCACTGGATTCAATTGCTGATCTGCATATGATAGTGCACACGCTCTGCTCCATGGGGAGTATTTCAGCCGACCACATTTACGTTCGCATCTTACCGGGTGTTTTTTTAATACATCGATGCATAATTTCAAATGTAGTTTAAAGTCTTGACAAAGGACATTAGTGCCGTGACAAGATTCTAACCGCAAACCATGTAACACCTCGACAGTATTTTAGCTCCTACTCATGCATTCATGTAAACCACTAGATGTAAACCTGACATCAACATCTTTTTGTTTTTTTCATAGTGTGGTACCATCCCGGTGGGGAGGAGAGAATCCTGAAAGATCGAGACGAATTGAACAAAACCATTGGGAACACCAAGGGTTTATTCATCAATACAATCAAGACTTACGGGGTAAAGAAATACTACAACTTTTATAGCTCTATGTTACCGTACACATCCGGGTCCCAAGCTGGAGAAAACAATCACAAAATTGCCATCGACTGTTTCACATCTGCAATGTCTGCCGACCTTTTTGTGACGAGGGTTTGAGTAACAAATCCATACTCCCTCTAGTGGTGAACCTGTTCATATGGTAGATAGAAGATAAATATATCTCAGAATGATATTGTTTAAATGCGATTTCCTTTCTTTTTAGCATGATGATGACTGTTTATGCTCTAAATTATTTCGTGTTTCGGATTAAGAATTACTCATTGTTCCTGTCATAACTAGTATATACAGAAATTGGTTCCAATTGATATCAGGATGTCATTTGCAGGTCTTTAAAATGATCTACACAAATGAATAATCACTGAGTCTCAAAAAGACTTAATTCGGAAAACAGAAGATGTTTGTTTATCATATACGACAGTGGTCTTGCCGAAGCTAATACGACTTCATAATAAGGTTTTGTTTATTATGATTATGCAGGTATCTGATGGGTGTCAAGTAGCTCTGATTGTCAAGGCATCAATGAATGAGACAGGGACGTATCAACCTGTTACACCAGGGGTACAACTCTTCCAACAATGTAGGTTACTGGTATAAAGAGAGAGGCATGTCGCTGGCATGTCCAGCATCTGATGCAGCCGTCATAACCAGCCCTCCTCTGGCTGAATGTTCAGATAAAGACAACACGCCCCCAAAGGAAAAAAAGGAATATATTTTCCTCAGTGTTTGTGGCATACGCACATGATCATAACACCTTCATGTATAATACGCCCATTATTTCACCCCTTCTCCAGGTTTGGGCAAGAACGTGCATCCACCGTTTAGCAATTTCTAGAAACGCCCCTGCACACTCAAGTATTTTGATTAATCAATATGAATATAGCATCAGAGACTGTAGTAAAAGCTCCTGGGAGCGTATTCATCTACTCTACTCCCCTCCGTCATGTCTATAATAATACAAGTTACAAAAAGGAGCACTTTTCTATTCGTTACTTCTCGCAATGCCCCGAACATCCTCCACCCCTTGTAATTAAATCGCAAGTTTGAGATCGTGCATTTACTAACGAAACATTGTACGTAATGTACATGTGCATTTAGAAAGTTTGAAAGCGTTAGTTTTTTCCTGGCGGGTCGATTCCTAGAGCAGTGTTGTAATGTTTTCAAAGCACAGTGAATGGATTTATTTCTCACTATGGCATGTGAATTTGAACGAGGTACATACATGCCTCAATTCATTTATCGATACTTTAGGCTTCTTTCATAATACACCATTCCATGATACATCACCCTATTTTAGTGCAAAAATTTCTTAAAACATTATTTTACAATGAATAACTTTAGACTATACATTTGATGATATATTATCTAGACCAAGAACATGCTGGTCCGGATGATGTCCGTGATAGAGACTACATTCGAATCCGGACTATGGAAAGTGGCGGATCTCGGATCATGCACTTGGTAAGAATAATCATTTTGCTAGCTGTCATCAACAAGACATTGACAGTAGACTGACGAATGTTAAGATGTTAATACAGGAGATAACTGTAAGGCAGACAATAGGATAGAACAAGGGTGCATGACAGAGCGTGATAGAGGTGCATATAGCCGCCAACACGTTCCGAAGGGACGGCACTAGATGATGATGATCAGAAGGGATAGGCAATTGCCTGAAGAATCGCGAACAAGTAAACAAATGTTGTGTGTGTATATTTAAGGTATGCCACATTGGGGTTGCACAAAATAAAGGGGTGCTGCTTTTGTTCACCCCGACCCTCCTCATAAGACCTGTCTAAAACTCGACAGTAATTTTAATGTGAGACTTTTCTTTAAAGAATATATTCTGTACACATACCGTTAGGTATCGAGAGCACAATTATTAAACGAGTGAAAAGCCTGCATACCTCAGTTTTGCGTATGTGAATGGAACAAAAAATAGACAATTAGGCCCATTTTCTTTTCCTTTTTTTCTTACAGTTCAAGGTAGATTGTGCACTCTAATTCAAATACAGTAACGACTATTAAACACAAACCCTAGTCTTCCCATTCGTTCAACAAAAGGTAGATGTATAGATGTATCGAACTCATACAATTGAAAGGTGTCTTTGATTTTGATAGTCTTTACACTATTTTGTTCTGTGATCATTCTAATATATATATATATATATATATGAGAATTAAATAATATCCACTATTTCGATTTGTTCACCTTTTAGGTTGCCGAGAACCAAATACCCACAGAGAGCAGTACATCCCTGACCAAGCTGGATCGTGAATTCTTAGCCCCGCGTTTGCTGGTTACTAAAGTAGGAAAACTTAATGCTTTGTCACACGATTTATCTTCTTTTCAAGCTGTATTTATGTATGTGTGTTTACACGAGCCACACAAAAGCAAACAATGGCTTTCCTTAAATATCAAACTCAACTCGAAATCGTGCACACATTTTTAAATATCATACCAATGACAAAGACATAACGTGATCATGATTATTATTTGTTTTAAATCTATTATTATCTCTTCTTACCAGAAAACGATTCAGACTCGCCTTGATGAGTTCCTTGCATGTGGCTTTCCTTAAATCTCAAACTCAACTCGAAATCGTGAACACATTTTCAATATCATACCAATTACAAAGACATAACGTGATCATGATTATTATTTGTTTTGAATATATTATTATCATTTTCTTACCAGAAAACGATTCAGACTCGCCTTGATGAGTTCCTTGCCTGTGGCTTTCCTTAAATCTCAAACTCAACTCGAAATCGTGAACACATGTTAAAATATCATACCAATGACAAAGACATAACGTGACCATGATTATTAAATGTTTCAAATATATTATTATCATTTTCTTACCAGAAAACGATTCAGACTCGCCTTGATGAGTTCCTTGCCTGTGTCTTCAAGAAGCCCGCCGAGACTCCACTCACCATCAAATATCTTTTTGACTTCTTTGATAAGATGGCCAATAAGTACTGCGATGAGAAACCCGAGGAGATTGCTGAAGCATGGAAGAGTAACAGGTATTTGATTTAGCAGGAGTATCCACCATTTAGGGCGGAACCAGCGGGCATCGCTCCCGCCTCCTGCTCTCCTCATTTTCGGGGCGATATAAGACTCCCTCTTCCGGTAAAAACTGGTCAAGCCTAGAGGGGCGTCAGTAATGGCCTTATGATCAAAGTATCAGTACAGTTTCTGTACAAATAGTCGGATTATCAAGGTGATTGCAGTGTTACCTTATTTACATACACATTGCCAATTAATTGATTCTTGAAGGTCTTGATGATCGATGTATTCGTTTTTTGTTTATTGCATCATTCCTTCCCATTCTCAGCCTACCACTACACTACTGGATGACTACATTGACGCATCCCTCCTACGTCTTTGACATGCGTCAGTCACGGTCTGCTGACCAGAGCGTTTCGGTCTTGGCTAACATGCTGGACAATGCCTGCAAGAAAATCCGCTCAGAGAATACGCAGGTCCGTATAGAAATAGACAAGCTGAAGTAGTCATTCTTCATATGTATTGGATCATTATTCGCCAGACATATTCTAGTTCTTTGTCCTACCCAAAGTAGTTTGTTGGAAGATTTCTTATCAAATTTACGTTCTTCAAACACGTCGACTGACAGCTTTGTATGAGGGTCTTTTAGATTTGCACATCGACATAATGGACTACTACGTGAGACGTCCTTTTAAGGCACCGGCACCGGCTTAAAAGGACGTCGCATTACCTGAAAAAGACGTCACACGTAGCAGTCCACTATGTCGACGTGCGAATCTAAAAGTCCCTATTGTCAATGGCAGTCACGGCCTCCTTGAAGGCAGACGACTTTTATCAGGTCAATGTCTTCTTTTTTTTAAAGTGATTAGTCATAACAAAACATTTTAAAATATTTTTCCTAAATGATTGATAATCAACTGAAACGTACATATTTCAAAAACATAGTGAACATATAAATGTGTAAATTGTCAACATACCGCGCATATCATTCAAATTGTGTTTCTCTTATGTTTAAGTGTTACATGAACTATACAAAATACCATTTATATTTATTTAAACAAAATTACAAGATATTCAACAATAATAAAACATAAAATCGGGCCAGATTTTCCAAAGTACAGGAACAACAAAGCAAAACATTCAAATGAATAAGACATACAGCCAGGTCTGACTGGAGTGATAGGTTGTAAGTTTCCAACAACATGTTTGTTTATATTCCGTATGTATAAAATTAGCAATATTAATGTTAGTGTAGTTTCAACTTCAATGTGAGACTTCCAATACCGGTACATTGTTTACTATCAAGGATTAGGTTTGCATAAGATACAAGCATCATATTTCAGTTGATAATGATTATTAATAACATACAAAAGCAGAATTCACACTGCAACTACTTCATAAACTTATCCGTTTGTTTAAAGTTTACCATTCGTCGACAAATTAATTGTATCTTTGAACCCTCTTTCAGGAGTCTGCCCTCAATCGGGTCCTGTTTTACAGGGATCTTCCAGGCCACATCAGAACCATCGGTGAATACTACGAGAACATCAAAGGGTTACCGCCACCAACGACAGAAGAACTCCAGGAGGATTTCAACAGAATTACACAAGTGATAATTAATTGTTGCTCTTCATTAACTTTGCACTATTTTGCTCGTAGCCATATTTCTTCAGCAAACGACACATCCAAACAGATATTTGTCTGTTGCAGTTTCCTTGTTTATTGTTCAGAACGCTTCATTAGATGTATAGAATATATACTGATAAATTAAAGGTAGCTCAACCATGGGCATTCAAAGTTTAACCAATTACAATTTTGTTTAATACGCCGTAGAACTTCAATGTAATTTTTTTTTATCATTGTAATGATGAATGTATTCCGTATGACTTAAGAGTTGTTGGCTTGACGTAGAAACATGGCTAGTCTCCTTGCATGACAACATGATACAGACTATATTAGAACTAAATAGCATTCCTATGTTTGTCTGTTTGTTTTTTCTTTAGGACTTTTCTGGTCTGTTCAGTCGAGTGGCAACCCTCAGCAAGTTGTATGACTTCACATCTCATGACACAGGTCCTCTGGTTAGTAGGCCGATGATTACTTCATGAATGTTTAGCAAAAGTCAGGAATTCTGTTTAGGTGTTTGGTATAATAATACTGGATATTTATACAGCGCACATATCAACCATAAATGGTGCTCATGATCAAGGCGCTCCAACTATTAACCCGGCTCTGCTAGGCTGCCGATTTCGGCGCTCACAGCATTCAAGGAATTCCTTCCTACCGGTACCCATTTAACACATAGGTGGAGAGTGGCAATGTAGATTAATATCTACAGATCTTAATTGTTCCGCTTGAACTTACCCTCTCCCTTCTCTCTCTCTCGTTTTTATTTCTAAATCTTTTATGATGCTACCAATGTTATTTTGTCATATTGATTTTGTATTTTTGATGCTTGTATTTTCTATCATTTCCCCTAATCCACAGTTGGATTCGATCACAGAGCTGATGCCAAACTAGAGCCTTAGTCATCATCGCACTTTCCAAGCTCTCCTCGTGGTTCATGGTACTACATCGTGATTACGACTTCAAAATGCTTGTATCCAGATGGACCGTCAAAAAGGCGGCAACATTGTGTATAATACAGGAAAATATTGATACTCAGATTTTTGCTCTTTAGTTTTATAAATGCAAAGTACTTTAGGTTTACTATTAAAGGTGATGTGGAAATAAATGTTTAATTACACTAAGTAATCGTTGTGTATTCTAACTTCAGTAAAACAGTTACCATTTCAATTCAAGTCGTATTCTTTTCTCGCAGTTTGCTATTGTTTAAAAATTGTAATATCTTCTATGTTTATATATACATATTGTAGTCTATATATAGTTTTGTTAAGCCTACTAAACAAAATCGTCAGATTTCCTTTGGTTATGTTATGGTTATGAGAAAACAATTAAAAATGTTGAGTATTTTTCGATTTTTGTCTCTTTTTCCTCCCATTTAGTGTTAGATAAGGCTAACAATTTGGTTAAATTTAATTTAGATCACCTAGCCGTTTATATCGAAATTACATTTTTTTTCCTCACGCTGTCAATACAAATTTGAATCGTATCTTTACACATGTATCATAAATGAACGACTTTCTGGAATAGACTACATTGTTCAAATGACTCCAAATGTCCTCAGATCTTTTACACATAGGGTAGACCTAGTCCACACTTCATACATCATAGAATAGTCATCATTCTAGAAAGCCTCTTGTTTGCCCTCTTGGGAAGAATAATTTCAGCCGCGTTCCATTGAATGTCCTGTCTGTGCACAAATAAACAATGATTATTTTTATCAGCACGTATCCAGTATTCGTCTTGGTTGGTTTTACAATTTGTGTATGAATAACGTTTATCTGCCCATGTGCACCATAAAGCTACGAACTGGCTTATTGATATTTCTCTATAAAAAAAAGGGCTGAGACTACACATGTATTATGTTTTTATCACAATAGCGGATTGATACCCTTCCGTTTAATAAAAATCCCTGGATGTTCATGATTCCAATGCATTATCTTATCAGTATAAATCCTAAACATGAAAGCGTATACGAATATTTTTGTAATGGTTGTTTTGGTCTTAAATTTGCGAAGAAAATGTTTACATAGGGAAATGTAAAGTTAAAGATACTTCGTCCAAAAATAGAATTTATTTTAAAATACATTAAAGAGAAGGATGAGTTCTGGGAAGAGGTGAACAATAATTTATGAGCATTTTCATTGTTATTATGCAAGTGTGGAAGAAAATTCAGAGACAAAATGCTCCCTGTAAAGCATGGCTCTTCAAATGCCTTCTCATTCTAAATATGACAGGTAAGAGCTTAAAAATGAGGACCTCGGTTTTTGGCCACACGTTTGTGTAGTCCCATATACATCTTTCTGAGTACAGTGCTTTAAATATTAACAAAAATTATAAACCAAAGAGTTGATATTCTAGTATGGTATGCCAATATTAGGTAGATCATAACTGGGAGAAATATATCTTTCTAAAGTTAACTCTCCCATGAAGCACCGAAGCCATGTAATCTCTGTATTGACTAAATTATACGTGCGAATGAAAATGCATGCTGCAACGGTGCAGCATTTTGTGTATACAAATTTGCTCTACTGTTTTGAGGTGTCGTTTTTAGTTATCAAAAGTGGTGCATGCATTGTAAAAAAAGTTTTTATTAATAAGTTAATGTTTTCCTTATGATCAGTCTTTCATTTAATATTTTTACGAATAGATTTGCTGTACATATCAAGCGAGGGAATGTCAGGAAAAAAGAACTATTGTGTTTTCAGATTAATTGTACCTTAGATTAAAAGCATGTATTCAGGAAAAACTGTTCGTTTTCTGAGAACAAAGGATTAACCAAAATCTGAAAATAATCTATAAAAGTAAAGAAATTTTCCTTGATCAAGTTTTAAAATGCTAAGGAGTTAAACTAAATAACAATCATGATAATTCCTTTTAAATTTCGCATTTCCCTCTTATTTGTTTCTCTTGCTTTATTTCTCTCCTTCCTTCTGTTTCCATTCCCCTTCCTGTATTTCTCTGATCAGCCTCTATCTCTCTTTCTCTCTCTCTCTCTCTCTCTCTCTCTCTCTCTCTCTGTATGTCTATCTCTCTATCTGTATCACCTTTTCTGTCTTCTAAGAAAAATTTGGTGTATTCTATCTATAATATGAGCTGCTCTTCTGTTGTCATAATTGGGTGATAGTGAATAATAATAAAGTATCGATTATAACCAGGGATTCTGTGTTCCACTTTGTTCATTTCTTTTTTAAAACTGAATTAGTAAGCACCAATCTTGATGGCTAGCTGAATGACATGATTGAGATCATAAAGCAGTTTAAATGACTAAAGAATAAAAACAGTAACAAAAAATACAGGATGTTATAATTTGAACCATTTCCCTTGTATTTAATAAACATACATGTAACATGTAAACACATAAAATATATATGAGAAAGAAACATGACATAGTAGCAGGACATAAAATATCTTTGTCTTGTTCGACTGGTGATGCATTTTGACAAATAATTGAGCTTCACTATGCTAAGCAATAAATAACACGTTTAGAATCTACAAAAAAAAACTACGTTATTTAATTCCATACGGCAGTACGATAATTATGCAATAGACGGCACTTCTACTAATAATACATCAATATTATTGTGCGAGCAAGACCATTTCCATTATTTTCGGTTCACTTCAAATAGATTAATCAATATAGGTCAGTTTGGAATACGTAAATGAGAATATGTAAATGGAGGGCATAAAGATCGCAGGATTGCTAAACAGTTTTCTAGTACATGATACATGAGATGGATTAAGTATATCACATGATCATGGTACTCCTCCCCCCCCCTCAAAAAAGTAAATAATAATAATTAAACATACAAATATATATGATATCAAATCATGATAATAATAATAATATTGATAATAATAACATCAATAACAATAGAAACATAAATAAATATGTTGTTGGAAATTATATGACTGGTATGCGAAGGTATTGAAAACATCTTTACTATGAATAAATCCGGGTATATAACGATCTATAATTATTTTCTTTAGACATGTGACCTTACCTCTTTAAACGTTTGAAAGATTATAAGGTATTTTATGTGTATGATATGCGATGGTTTCAAGGGCTGTTATTAATTATTTTACATGTATTTTTTGTTAAAGCGAAGGTTGAGTACTGGTAAAAAAAAGAAAATTATTTCTCACAGAATCAAACGAAACTTACACTGAATGTTCAAGATTACAAATAAATGACAAGTGCCAAACAATTTTGGAAGAAAATGTATACTGGCTGAGTAATGAGCATAGAAAGACAAGGAATCAAGGTAGTACCAACCCCGACACCATGCGTGTTGTCCCATACATAGCTTTCTGTGTATGTGCTTGTTACTTTACCAAGACTCGGTCAAATTTATTATGATTTTGATGACTCCAGAGCCTTGCAGTGCACACCAATACTTACATGCTACATGATCAACTGTTTCTGATCCTTTCCACACCTTTTCTTTCACAATGCAATCGCATTACCAGTATTAAAGTTTATCTTTAACATACACAATCTTTAACTCCTCATTAAACCAAGGTTGTTTTTGTCATAACACAATATTAATGCATATATATGCATTCCTGTCACATTAAGATGTGCGAAATATAACAATGAGGTTAGGGTTAGTTTGGTCGCAAAGGCTTTACAGCCCCACTGCACTACGTATAGCTTCTTGCGCCCTCTATATTATAGTAGTGAGCACTACACAAAATAAAAAACATTTTGCCTCCGACATGAAAAAAGGTCCGCCCAAGGGGGGGGGGGGAGGGTTAAACCCCCTAAGCACCCCCCGAAGATCCGCCCCTGAAATCAAATAAAAGATGTTGCGCTTGCATTCATGTGTGTGTGATACATGAGAGAGAGACAGAGAGAGAGAGAAAGACGAAAGAGAAAGGTAGGGAGAAAGAAAGACCAAGAAAGAAAAGAAAGATAGAGAAAGAGCGAAATACACATGTATAAAAGCCTATATCTAGCAAGAACGGGAGACGGAATAAAAGGGGAAAGGGAGCATGGGGGGGGGGGTGGTAGGGAGATATACATATACATATATATATATATAGAAGCAAGATACACGTATACATCTATACGAATGTGCATAGTGCATAGGAATGAAATTACTGGTTAGAAAGAAAGAAAAGAATATAAAATAAGTACATTAGTGGGATGGATTTTGTTCCTTTTTTAAGATCAATAACCTGAAAGATTTGATTACACTTGAAACTTCAACAGATAGAACGAAACCTCTTCATGCTTCAGTCGAACTTTATTTTCTGATCTCGAGGGGGGGGGGGGGCGGTGTTATTAATTTTTTTCTCTCAAACAGATCCTAAAAGAAGAGTAATAAGTGGAAAAAATTGATTAAAGTCACGCATAGTATACACCATCCTTGAAACTGTCGATAGTCTAAAACGTCTGATCACAGGGGGAGGAGACAATACTAGCCGCTGTATGGTATCACGGGCCACATGAATAGAGTTTTTTTTCTTCTTAAAAAATGACGTCAGAACTTGTAGTGTTTCCCACAATGGAGGAATCAACGTCAGATTATGACAATATTCGCTCACTCATCTGTGACATGTTTTTCTATACCTATTCAACGTTGTATTTGCCATGAGAACATTTAAAGGAGAATGCAACTATTCTAAAAGAGAGCATAACAATCAGAGAAGTACATCGGTGAACGTTTGAAGGAAATCGGACAAGAAAACTTGATTTTTTTTGGTGTGTGTGTGGAAAGTTTTCATAACTATATATATATGGGCACTCCAAATTGGCTTATTCAGTAACATTACTGTGACGCAACGCCATAAAACTGTCCTATTTTTGTCAACACAAAAGCTTACTAAAATTTAATTTTCTTTTCAAAATTCCAATACACAGTAGCGAGTTTAATTCTCCTGAAATATAGGGGCGGATCTAGCTTTTTACTAAAGGGGGATCCAGCCCGAAATTTGAAAATCGCGCCGACCCATAATTCGCTCAGTGGGGGGGGGGGTGGGGGGAGTGAGCACTACACACAAAAAACATCGTTTTGCCAAGGGGGGGGGGTAAACTCCCTGAACGCCCCCCGGAGATCCGCCCCTGAAATCAAATAAAAGATGGTGTGCTTGTATGTGTGATACATGAGTGAGAGAGAAAGGGTGAGAGATATAAAGACAAAGAAAGAGAAAGACAGAGAAAGAGCGAAATACACATGTATAAAGGCCTATATCTAGCAAGAAAGGGAGACAGAATAAAGGGGGAAAGGGAGCATGGGGGGGGGGGGGGAAAGAGATGTATATATCTATATATATAAAGAAGCAATATACATGTATAAGTACATCTATTCCGAAAGAGAGGGAGAGCGAATGTGCATAGGAATGAAACTACTGGTTAGAGAGAAAGAAAAGAATATAAGAGTAGTAGGCCTACATTGATGGGATGGATATTGTTCCTTTTTTAAGATCAATAAACTGAAAGATTTTATCACACTTAAAACTTCAACAGATAGAACGAACCCTCTCGATGCTCCAGTCGAACTTTATTTTCTGATCTCGGGGGGGGGGGGGGGGTAATACATTTTCTTCTCTCAAACAAATCCTAAAAGAAGAGTAATAAGTGGAAAAATTGATAAAAGTCACGCATAGTATACACCATCCTTGAAACTGTCGAAGTCTAAACATGTCTGATCACAGGGGGAGGAGATAATACTAGCCGCTGTATGGTATCACGGGTCACATGAATAGAGGTTTTTTTCCCTTCAAAATGACGTCAGAACTTGTAGTGTTTCCCACAATGGAGGAATTCAACGTCAGATTATGACAATATTCGCTCACTCATCTGTGACATATTTTTCTATACCTATTCAACGTTGTATTTGCCATGAGAACATTTAAAGGAGAATGCAACTATTCTAAAAGAGAGCATAACAATCAGAGAAGTACATCAGTGAACGTTTGAAGGAAATCGGACAAGAAAACTTGATTATTTTTTGAGGGGAAGGTTGTCATCACTATATATATGGGCACTTTGAATTGGCTTAATCAGTAATATTACTGTGACGCAACGCCATACAACTTTCCTATTTTTGTCAACACACAAGCTTACTAAAATTTAGTTTATTTTCAAAATCTTTAACTCAGGATAGTCTTATATCTTTAATTTATAGAAGCTATGATAATATTTGTATACTATGCATGAGTACTCAATTGATACTTTCATGCTTGATCTGTTTAATAACGATTTGCCTGGATTTCAATCAAGTATTGCGACATTCTGGAGCATAGGTACTTCACAATACAAAATAAAGGTGGGCAATCACGTTTTCCAATTTTAAACGACGCAAATACTTTGTAAGTAATGGTGAGAGTACCCTACCCATTCTCCCTACCGAGTTTTTATCTATCTACAAGCTTCAGTGGTTAACAAATAGATGTTTTTTTTGGTCAAAGCACAACCTCTTTTTTGTAATGTAAATGGATGACAATGTATGTCCTAAACTGATAAATCTAGCGAAAGGCAGACTTTGTTTATTTTGGACGCCTATGTCAATATAATCGTAAATCGACCAACAAATCATTACGATCTTTATTGTTTGAATAGAGGAATCATTCCATTATGCTGTGGGGGGAATGACAAAAATAGGTCTGTATTTTATAAACTTTCTCATAATCAAAAGACAAGCATATCATTCTTCCGCCCACGGAATATCCCATAATAAAATGAACAGAAAAGTAAAAACGTCATTTGTATTCTGAATATTTCTCCTGTCTTCATTAAATAGAGTAATGATAGAAACACATTTTGTAAATGAATGGTACATTCTAAAAGCGGAAGTAGTGCTATTTCATCGGAGCAAGTTCAATTAAAAGGGCAAGATTTTACAAGACATTGCCACCTGATTGTTGATAATTACTGATTCAGCTTGATCTCTTCCTTCTGTTAAAACTAGTACAAAGAGTAAACAGTACTAAGAGTGAGTATTGACTGACCATTCATATATTTGCATAATAATATTATTTTTACCTTTTTTCGGCGTTATGAGAATTCATTATATTAAACATTTCTGATTGGATTTTGGTCAATGCATGGCCCGAGTTGGATATTGCAATTCATTTAGAAAGAAACATAGAGTAGTATCGTCATGATATTTATGTTTTGCTTTGTGGAAGGTGGGGTGAGTATATCGTTCGCCGAAGAGCTTCCATGTAAAATAGCAGCCCCTTTAAAACGTGATATAATACTCTTGGGGGGAATGTGATTATCTTGATGTCCTTTTTATTCATGTTCCCGCGATGTGCTGATGTTTTATATTCATCGATATGTGAGTAAAAAAAACGACACCTCAGCATTGATAAATTAATGCACATAATCATCTAATTAATTATGATTAGAATACACTAACTCGTTTGCACAGTACCTGAGGCTTCCTTAATATACCTATACGAATTTGTCGATAATCGACTTCCTCCACTTGGTTCTTTCAATTGACTCTCAATCCAACGGTTGTTGGCTCTAATCCCAACCCGGAACTGACGTCAATGGCCAATTCGTTAGTCCACTGTTGCCATCTCATCACTATTAGTGGGGTAAGAATAATAGCAGGCCCCACAGGAAGAACATCATTGATGCCGATGAGGCTGCAGGGGGTAAATGTAATATATTGTTATCATAAACAAAATCATCTAAATTTCATTTTTTTTTTGACTTGTGTACAGATTGTTTATTGACATAGAAGTCTGCAGTGCACGTAATGTCGACAGGCATGGCTTGGAAATACATGGGAGCGTTACGGCTCTTCCTGATCCTCATATCATGTCACCCTCGGTCCATCCAATCGGCTCCTCTCTCCTCCTACCTGGTATCATCCTTTACCCCTCCTGACTCTGACTCCTCCCTACCATTCAACCACATCGCCATCAACGACATCACTGGAGATGTCTATATTGGAGCACGGGAGAGGCTCTACCAACTCGACTCAAACCTGATCCCTAAACATACAGTGAAAACTGGAAAGTGTACTGATCATCCCAACGTTAATGATAACAAACTTCTTGTTGTCGTGGAAACACCTCAAAACAACACTCTAATCACTTGTGGAGGCTGTGACGGTTTCTGTGAGACAAGGAGCTTAGCCAATATATCACATGATGTAGTGCGATATGGTTCAAATGATTGGCAGTTAGTTGTGACAACTAAAGATCTACCTACTGTTGGAGCTGTTGTTCTGGGTGCTGACTATGTACGTACAGGTGAGGGTACCCCTAACCGAGCCTTTTACCTATTCACAGGGGTTAGTGATGGAATTCCCTTTATTTCAAAGCACAATCTTTTAGACCTGAGTTTAGATCAAAACATACCACGGGGGTATGTCAAGTCGGAGAGTTTATTCAAATACCTGGTTGTTTACAAGGATTATCTGTACTATTTCATATCTAGAGAAGACGGTGTTTACTTGGGACGTCTGTGTCGTAATTCACTTGACCAGTTCTTTACGTCATACACAGAAATAGAGCTACAGTGTGGATCTTACAATATGATCCAAACTGCTCATATCGGACCAGCAGGATCGCAGCTAGCTGACTCACTGAATATCAACGATACGGATGTCTTATTGTACGCGGTATTTTCAAATGAGATCTCCTCTGCCCTCTGTGTCTATAAGATGAGTGATGTCCAGCAGAGCTTTGAAGATGCTGTCTTAGGATGTCTCCAGGAAACTAGCCGAAATGGAACAACAAATAAACACTTTACTTCTGAATCAATGTGCACCCATGTGAGTAAATGAAAAAGAAGCCCGTATCGTATGATTAATAGAGAGTATTACATAGTAGACCTCATCAGTGAACAAAGTCCAATTAATACCAGTTAACAAATTAGGATATATATTTATTATTTATTTTTTATTTATTTTTATTTTATTTATATTTTATTTTTTATTTTTTGTTGTTTTTGTTTTTGTTTTGTTTGGGGGGGGGGGTGCTCCGTTAATTCATTGGCCGAATATATCTATATTAATCTACAGAAAGTAGTCAAGTAATCATGGAACTAGCACTGACACAAAAAACAGCTACCTGGATCACAACGTGTATCCTTCAGTGAGTCAATACAAAATAATTATCATTAGGAAGTCATTGTTTGTCAATTTTTATTAACTAATCTAACAGTAATATCCGTACCATGGGTGTTGTAAATGTATGTTATGAAATCGATTTACAATAGTTTTTTCATGAATTTAAAAACCCTAATTTTCAGTCAGCAGCCTTGGGAAATTGATCCGTCAGGAATAATTCTTGCCCACCTATTATTCCTTCACCATTCCAACCACTTAATGTTAAAGTTATTTATGGGAACCTATAATCTACAAGCTGAGCTTTTTATAGGTTCCTCATATTTCACCCTGTATAACCTTCTATTCAATACAATTAATTTCGACGTCTTTTCAAAGAATTAATTGTATAATGTGACACTTTTAGTATATTTCATATTATGTTCTAATTTTGTCAATTATGTAAATTCTTTTTTGTGAAATGTGAAACAAATAAACTTGAAACTTGAAACTTGAAATCCACAGGAAAAAGCTTCAAGGCTGAGTAGCGAATTTTGCCCAGCATATGTATGGTCCTATATCTGTCATAAGTTTTCTGGCAACCTAATTTACCATTCCAGATCGAAATTAGGAGTCAATTCGTAAATCTTTTAATTGAAAATACGGTTGTCCAACTAAACATTATTGAAATTATAATCCCTTCCTGCACGTCTACTCTTAATTTGGAATCATGTTTGTAGAACATAAAAATAAGAAAAATGATGAGCGGTGGAGCAAATCGACTTGGCGTTGTAAATGTTATACTTTGTGCATTTTCAATGCATGGCAACTTATTCCAGGAGTAAACAGGGTACAATCACTGTACGCTAGTGTAATTTATCATCTTTCACTAACCTTAGTTAGTTACCTCTCAAATAAACTAAAACATGCAACGTAAACAATTATTAAATGGATATGATTTAGGGTATTGATACACTATTGGGAAATATTTGGGAACTGTGTATGTGTTCAGATTTTTGCGTTTGAACAAGAATTGTCATGCAATGCATTTAGCTTGTATTTGCAAATGCATATCTGCGTTCTGTTCTGCCAGTACCATCCAGAGTTCAATCCACCATATTTAGTTTGAAATATAGACAATATGGTGTAGTGACAGTCACACTTTTCACCTGTATGCCAGCTGAACGGTATCCTTATTTGTGGCAGCCACCATGTGTACCATGTAGTAAGAAACATCACGCAGTGATACTCTTTGGAGGTAGGCAGGGGCCAATAAGATGTGTGATTTAATGACTAATTTTTTTTTCCTGACAGTTTGGATTCAAAATACCAGATTCATTCCAGTGCACAGCGTTTTTTGAAGAAGAAGAGTGGCATCCTCTCTACCGGTATGTCAGTGGAACGGTTCCCCTCTTTGCTTCACCCATCATCACCGTTCCTGGTGTGATACCCACCTCCATAGTGACCACCATAGAGAGACAACATACAGTGGCATTCATGGGAGATACACAAGGAAAGCTCCATAAGGTACCTTCATAATGTAAATAGATTATCAATATAAATTTTCCTGCCTATATGGTACAGTGCCAGGGAAATTAATGGATAATATTGTATACAGCTATTTATCTTTTTCGGTAAAAACACATTTTCTGTATCCACCCGATACGTTTCAATAAATAGTGAATTCACTAAAGGAATTATTCCTTTAGAATAAATCTCACTATATTAAACACAGGGGTCCCTTTATTACATATATTCACAATTAACAACTAAAAAGAGACTATAAACTTGAGTGTGTTTGTCATACAAATAATATCCTGGACGTACAAATATCAAATGAAATGATAAACATAAGTGTAGCAAGATACGATTTGTATTCAAATTATATTAACAGGCAAAAACATTTACTATAAAAAGAGAAAGATATAAATTATTGATATTTCATTAGAGTAATGATCAACTAAACGTATAATTATATCAAGATCCCGTGATATCGTGCCATGTAAACAGTATTGAAATGACTTTATGCCCCCCAAGGGGGTGTTATTTTAAGGATTCAATGATTTTGCAATTGTAGGTAAGGGGGTATCTACCCGTGAAGCCTCATTGTTCAAATTTTGTTTGGCTAAAATGACTAGGCTTAAATTATTACGATAACAAAGATGTGACCTTATTCATGTATTACTGCCTTCACTGGCAGACTGCTCTCTTCATTTACACCATGACCACTTTATTTTGTTTATTAGGGACAACATTTTTTTTTTAAATACCAAACTATATTTTTGGTTGATGATTCCTCTAAATAGTTGAACATAGTGAACGGTTCGTCAGGCTACGTATATGAACATGTCTTTCTTGGAGATGGATCAGTCTTACAAGAGATGTTCCTTGATGAATCGAAAGAGCAGCTTACCCTTGCTACAAGTTCAGAACAAGGTTCAAAGGTAAGACTTTTGATAAAACTATAATGAACACGTGATAGATAAGAGGAAAATTCGTTGATATTAGATGGTTGCAGTATAAAAAAATAACACATCAATCTTTCTCATCATTTAGTTGTTCTTTTGTAGAAATGAGACTGCCCGGTACACTCTTTCATTGTTTCTGTTAATTTGCATGTGCTTACGAATCACTGTGAAAAGTGCAAAAACAAGGGATGTTGGTACGCAGTCAGTCCCATTAGCGGTTTGCCATAGTTTCCCAATAGCATTTTTCATGGCGCTATTGTTCAGCAAAGCCAACATTTGTACCGTATACTAGTATATACACCATATATGTGTAGCCTTTCCAATAACCTCAATTAAATTATGGCAAAGATATATACTTTGCATTAAAAATGTTTGTTTTAATAAGAATGTTAATCTACATCTGCACAGTTCAACTTCAGTTGATGCAGTAAAATTGATTGAGCATCCCATTTGGCTTTCAATATTTAAGTCATTCGTAAAGTCATGCGTAACTTTACGAACAGCTTTATGAAACACCCCCTGGTTATATATGCATTATGCGTGACCATGTGTTGTGAAAATAATCGAAAAATTAAATTCCATTAAAGTATTAGGTATTGTTAAATCTATATTAGCCTAACATTATATTGGTTAGTAAAAATGAGATTGACTAGCAACTTGAGAATTATAAAAATATTTATATGCCAATATATTTATTACATTTATATTATACAACAAAGGGAGGATTTGCTTCCCAATCATCAATTAACCGAAAGTCGTGACAAAGCGCTCATTTTGTTGATATTGGAAAGCCATTACTTTGCTATATCTTTTGAAGTTTCTTAACTTTGTGAATGTGACTAAACTCCCGATACTTCTTTTATGGAAGTGTAGCTTTGTAGATGAGTTTTGAAGTGTCTCATGCATATCATTAGGGAATCCTTTCTACTTAACCAGTTTCTTAAAGATATTACAGCCTTGCTTGTACGGATATTTTGAGGAGAGGTGTTTATTTACGACCTTCTGTGATGCTTGCCAAGTAATGTATGGACGGTAGAAGTTATCTATGTTATCTTACATTGCAGGCGATTTAAATACCTCCACATTTTTGTTTGAAGGAACATCCATAAAATATCTTAGTTATGAAAGGTAATAGCCGACAGCTGATCTCAGCATCGATATGACTTCTGACATTATGCGATTGCTTTAAATTTTTATTTTCATATGATGAATCAGGTTCTCACGTTAGAGTTAGTCAACTTTGGCCAGTACCAGAGCTGCGAGGAATGCATTGGTGAGGACGGAGGAAATGATGGAGACCCTTACTGTGGATGGTGTACCCTAGAGGCGAGGTGAGTGCATTATATGGGTCGAAAATGATGACTGATTTTCCATTCCTCTTCTCTCATTAACTTTAGTTAATTACATGTTGCATGTGTTAGGTTGACTTTACTTCCTAACAGCAAGGGGATGAAGGATCATCCATAGCGTTGCCAACCCTTGGAGAAAACAACTATATCTTGATAATATTGTACTTATTACGTGTGCATCAAACACTTTCTCTAACATCTTTATTTCTATTTATCTTTTTCCTTCCTTTCCACACCATTTCCCCTTCAAGATGTACAAGATACGAGGAATGTCCTTTCCCTGACGAGTCAGCTCGATGGTTATCTTACAATGCCTTCCAGTGTGCATCCATCTCCGATGTCCAGCCTGATCACAGACTGCCTTATCAAGACACAGAACAAGAAGTAGGTGCTATTGGGACTTCATGAATATGAAATGTCAATAACGATATGAATAAAAGACTACGGCTATGAGCAGAGAGATAGAGCCTGCATACGCATTAAATCTGAAAAATGCATATCTCTTTTCTTAAATAGGAGTATTGGCAACAGGATTATGAGTCGAGTTATCATTGAAGCTTCAAGTATACCGTAAATATTCAGAACATAATCATAATGCAATGTACATGTTGCCCATTGGAGATGCATTATTTTAAAATTATATCTGCCGTTGATTCTTTTGGCGAGAAATCATTCATTTACTTCAATCTTGCACTTCGTACATAATCTATTCAAAAAGTAGTAATAATAAATTTGATGCAAACTTAATGGGTGAAACGCCATGAGGCCCTTCAATAAAGTCGTGTCCATTTGTAGGCTCCTGAGATAATATTTTATGTCTATTATTAGCTATTTTGCAGGGAAATCATTGAATTTGCCATTCAGTTTCGCAATTACTTTTGACATGTAATGATCGGCTTCTTTATAAAATACTTTTCATCGCTATCGAGATCATGAACGGGTCAAAGAAATGATGTATTGTATCTAACAGAAAAATTCGAAGATAGAAATATTATTTAGAAATTTTGACATCATTTTATGTTGTTCATAGTTTTGCTGCGATATGTAAGTAATAGTTTACATGCTCCATCTTATGTACGCCAGATATCAAATTTAATCTTGTTTTTACATGTACTAGATCACCATTACCGTTCACCAGCTACCAACCCTCAAAGAAAACCATCAATACCGATGTGACTTCGACTCCTACCAGATCAATGCTGTTACTACGGTCAATACAGTCATGTGCGTCTCTCCTCCTGCAAGTGAATTGCCTACGATTCCAGAAGAAGGTAAGGCAATATATAATTTATTTCTTGTTTTTATAGATGGAAATTCTCACTATTCTACAAAGTCTGACATAATTCCTCTCTTTACGCAAAGTTTAAGTTTGCGAAACCTCGAAGTTATAAGAACGACCTCGATCTCACCCCGACGAGGGTTCACACAGTTCAAAACGAGTAATCAAAGTTCACTACAAGCATGGCAAGCCAAGGCAAGTATTCAGTATTATATCCCTCATGTATAGTTGTTTGCATTGCGATTGTACAGAGCACGAAAAAGGTATAGATAAGTACTATCTACCTGAGATAGTACTTTTGTAATTTTTTGCTGCTACCCCACTTGCCCACCCCTGCCCATTGAATACGCATAGCAAAGTAGGTTACGCGAAATGTCAAAGTCAATGTCAATGTCAAATAAGCGCATCGACTGTATTACATGTATGCATGTTGCGCTTTGTAAAATCTACAGTCTGCAGAATCAGTTCTTATTATTGTTATGTAAAATTCACTTTAAATAGACCTTATTGCCGATGTGGGATATAAAACAAATATTAACCTCCTTTACTCGGGCAATGGATACAAATTTTCATCGCCTTGGTGATCTCGGCGATGATAGTATAGTATTAATGACTGCTTTGAGAGAAATAGTTGTTTTTATCACTCAAGGAAAGGTTAGAATTGTGCTATTGCCCCGAGGCGTGCCGAGGGCAATAGCCCAATTGTAACCTTCCCGAGAGCGTATAAAAACAACTATTTCTCGAATATTAAAGCAGTCATTAATACTTTTATATGCCGAAAACAAAAGAGGCAACTAATGACACCACCTTGGCCTTTCTCTAGTTTATCTGCACGGTTGTTTTTTATGAGTGTATCTTTGAGAGTAGACTAGATCTAGATTCTAGTCTAAGCAAGATATTTTTACAATTTTGGGGGGGGGGGACCGGCCCTGTGGGGAATAGAGAGAAGAACCTGCGCTTTCATATGACACCTCACTTATTGAGTATCACCTTCAGGATCACAACAGATAAAGGTTTGAATCTTGAATTGAAAAAAAAACTTGACTCTTTTTGCATGGTCGCGCAATGCACGTAGACTGCATAGAGACTGCATTGCGTGTAATCTCTATGGGAAGAATATAGCACACAACATCGGGTGCGCGATCAGACACCCTGACAACTAGATCTATTTTCGTCTACGTCTATGCTGGTACTCCATTTTCAGCAACTAAACTAACATGTTTATGGATAATTTCACGTACCCTTTTTGTTGTTCTTGCTGTCAGCGAGTCTTGCATTTGATAAGTTGAAATCTTGGGACAGATTCTTTAGCCATTTTTGTCTTGTTTGGAATTGTCTTGTCTTGTATGAAAAAACCGACCAATTCTTCGTACACGTACGGTATCCTCGATCGCTCAAACCATTTTTTAACATGTACACCTATGGGGTAACCATGGAGACTGAACTATTTTCCCGGTAACAATGGTTACTGGGATTTTAGAACTGTTTTAACCATGGTTACTGGGAATTTTACAGAAATAGTTAAAGTTTATGAATGCAATTTCGACCAATCAGATGGCTGGATTTCTTAAGTGTGGTATATAATTTGCATACCTCACTTAAGAAATCCAGCCATCTGCTTGGTCGAAATTGTATTCATAAACTTCAACTATTCCTGTAAAATTCCCGGTAAAATTCCAAACCCATGTAATAGTTCAAAAATTAGTTCTAAAATCCCAGTCACCATGGTTACTGGGAAAATAGTTCAGTCTTGGTGAAATACCCATAGGTTCACATGTTAAAAAATGGTCTGAGCGATCGAGGATACCGTACGTGTGCGATGAATTGGTCGGTAATTTCAATACAATTGAATCTCGATCGATCTTATCGACAATTTTATCTTGCATTGTTGACATGAAGACGAAAATAAACTTCCAAAAACAACATCTGCCGATAGATCTTGATCTAAGTTCGTGCCAATGCATTGCAAAAGTAAAAGAAGGGCCCGTTTAATGGAGCTACCGCGAAGCATCCAGCACGCGAAGCCGTTTTCAATCCATTTTAATGTATAAATCAGAGAAAACTGCTAGGAATGGAATCAGAGCGCGATGGCCGAGCGGTCTAAGGCTGTGATTTTAGTCATATCATCGTTGGTACGCAAGAGATCGAATCCCATCTTCAACACAATATATATATATATATATATATATATATATATTTTTTTTTTTAGTCTTCTCTCAAAGATAAACTAGATAAACTAGATAAAGGCCAAGGTGGTGTCATAAGTTGACTCTCTTTGTTTTGGCATATAAAAGTATTAATGACTGCTTTAATATTCGAGAAATAGTTGTTTTTATACGCTCTCGGGAAGGTTACAATTGGGCTCTTGCCCTTGGCACGCCTCGGGCAATAGCACAATTCTAACCTTCCCTTGAGCGTATAAAAACAACTATTTCTCTCAAAGCAGTCATTAATACTATACCATTACCCTCGTAGTCGATTAATATTTGCTTACTATAAGTATATTAAACTTTTCATTTTCTCCCTATACTGATTTCATATTGTGTTGAGGAGGGTTTAACGGGGAAAAAAGGTAGACACATTTCCTCAATGATCATAAAAAAAAAAAAAATCAAAATATTAAATGAACCTACCACATCACCTTTCAATTTATGCCAACATTACGATGACATATTATATTACCCCAATTTGATTCATATCGGAAATATATAAGTGTACTGAAATTTCGCTTGAGGAGACTTCTTTAACAACTTTGCAACTGTCTAATCTCTATCTCTTTGTTTATATTTACAACAAGCGGACCACGTAACATTGACACTTTCTATTTTCTCAACGGAAACTGAAGTGAGCTTCTTGAGCACGGATTTTATATTGTTTGACTGCACCCGTCTTAAATCGTAGGTTCTTTGGTTTATATGATTTTTTTCAATATGCCACCTTTGCTTTTATGATATAAAGATTATTATATTTACACACTTGGTAAGTCAAAAGTAATTTGTCCCATACTTTTACTGAATACATAATTTCTTTTATAGTATGTCTAAGGATTGTATGAATATGGCAATCCTATTCTAGTTTAGATTAGAAGAAATATCATGGGTATTAAACTGATACATTCAATGTAATATTATTTCACTATAATTCCATGCACTTGGTAACATACTGTTGGCAACTTGTCCCCCTCCCCTTCCCCTCTTACCCTCCATCATTTACGCAAGTGACTCGCTCCCCTATCTTTACAATGGTTATCAATCCAAACGTTCATGTAAGGTGCTATTCATTTTAATTGGAGGTATGTAGTGCAATGTCATGAAATAGATTAAAAGAATTGAGGGGTCCGCGCAAGAATTGCTCTACACTATTTTTCGTCTAATACATAGGGCTAGGGATTAGTATTGCAATCGGGTGTTAGTTTAGGTTCAGTTTAAAGCTGATGTTTAGTCTAGAGATTAAGTTAAGAGTATGATTAGTGTAGGATATTGACGGCGTCACAATATTCACCGAGCGTATGTTGTACAATCTAATTGCGGCTGGGTAGGAGATGCAAGTAAAGACTCTTAATTTTGAACATCACAGACTATGAATGGTATGATTATTTAAGTTCAGGCTACTTCTTTTGTTTATTCCAGTTGTTCCTCTTGTGTAACAAGTCCTTGGCCATGTGACTGGTGTGTTTATGACAACATGTGTACACATGATAGCAGCTCATGTCAGCCGGAAGAAACAGTGGTGATTGGAGAAAATGTAAGCAGATTTGTTCACCTTGAAAAGGGTCATCTCGCTCTTTCTTTGAGTCAATACATTTAAATCATTTGATTGAAAAGAGTTTAGGTTGAATTTGATTCTACTTTATTCGTATATCATGTCAAGGTGTTCTCTTCTAGCTTTTACCACATGTTAAAATAAAGATTTTTTTCACTTTAGAATTTCAAGGTCAAGTACTGGAAAAAATATTTTTCCAAAATGCAAAGACATAGACTTACTGAATTCAGTAGAGTCTGAATTTGAAAATGAATTGTACTTTGAAATCATGCCATTCAGTGAATCCTTTCAGTGGGATACTAAAACCATACAAATACATACACAATTATTGATAATAAGCTACAGGTGCAATGTGTTTGCTTTTGTTTTTCTTTTTTATCTTGTATCTATTTCAAATTTATAGAACGCCGTAGGTTCTGGAAACAAAGGCCAGAGTTATTGCCCTCAGCTTCTAGCGACATCAAAACGGTTTTTCATACCAGTCAATATTCCTTCTGGTTACTCACTCCTAGCAGACAATCTCCCCACAGAGCAGACAAAGGTTTGAATATCATCCTATTTGTGCTATGATGATTGTAAACTTTACATAATATTACTACTAGTAATACTACTACTACTAATACTGCTGCTACTACTACTACTATTAATGAACATTATCACTCCCGACGCTCCATTAATCTTAAAGAGTATTATCATTAATTTGTTATTATCGTTGATTTTAACGAGTATTAATTTCAAACTGGTACTCATTTCATAACTCACCTGGGTCGAGTGTGGCAAATGCGGAATACTGTTTTGCAAAAGATATGAAATAAGTGATAATCTCTGATAAAAAACATGAAAATGTTTACCTTGTATACCTGGTTCAATCATGAAACGACTCTGTTTTCAAATTTAATATTTCATCAGATCCAGTCGTTTGATTGCATTCTTCGTATTGATGGAGTCGGGATACGAGTACCTACTTCCTTCTTCAATGAAAGTTACATTCTCTGTACTGCTGAAGAGGTAAACATGTGTTTGTAACCTTGGAAGAACAATTTTGTAACCATTAATTATCAATATTATTGATAACATATGGATAAAAAGAAATACCCTTCAATTAAACTAGATGAAAACTACTATAGTGACTTATATCAAATAACGTGGTGTTAGTAAACTGGATATATATATATATATATATATATATATATATATATTTATATATAACTTACAACTTAATAAGACGGACATCTTGCGAAGGACATTAAATTGCCGCGGCTGGATTCTAACCGCGAACCATGTGATCCACAGTCCGGTGACATATATCCACAAGACCAGGAACCCGTTTCACAAATTTTTTTTCAATGACAAATGACAAAAACCAGTGACAAGTCTGCAGATAACCAATCAGAAGCAAGGATGTCACTAGTTTACAAAAAAGCTACCATTTGTCAGTGTCACTGATGACAATTTTTTTAGAATTGGGTCCGGGAAACTTATCCTGTATTTGGAAACTATTACTTGACCCTTCCCCCTATATATCATCTTTATTCTCATTTACGCTAACGAAGACATTCGCATTACACCTGTTTATCAGTTTAACCGTAACACTGTGTTTGTTTGAAACTTTTATTTCAGTACATGTATAATGAGAACATCCTAGAGAAGAATGTAAGCATCTCGGTTCAGTGGAATGGGCAATACAACATAGATGACCCGACAGACACATATGGTAAAATACCCGTTTAATTTTGTGAACAATACATTTTTCAACAATTCCATAATACTCTTGGGATATACAATAAAACAAAAATGTCACCGCAGCTCCTTCAAAACGATAAAATTATCAAATACAAAAATGTCAAATGCGGGAAAATATATATATGCTTTTTTTTGTTGCTCTAATGAAACTTCTTTTTTATCCAGTAAAGCATTTAATCTAATGAGAATCTACTGTTTATGTTAGGAAGAAATTTCAAAGTCATTTCGAACAACTTAATTACCATTTTTAATTGAGACTTCACTTCTAAGTATTCAGTTGCAAATTCACCCAGAAGATACCATCTATTGAATAACTGTTCTCAATGTTATCATAGCTTAGACATATTGGAAAGAAATTTGAAAAATGCAATAAAACTAAGGAATTGATTACGATCAGTTTGAATAGAGAGTTCCTCCAATATTCCCCTTCTTTTCCATTGAAGTGACCCTGTACAAGTGTTCGGTTAACGGTGGAAGTTGCAGCCGGTGCCTGTCAGAAGAAGCAACCCCGTCGCACATGAACTGTGGTTGGTGTGGTGATGACTGCAATGTAATTCAGAGTGATGTTTGTCAGAACAATCAGTTTTTGAATCAGACCGAGACCCAGCTCTGTTCAGCACCAGTTATCACTGACGTAAGAAAATAATAAATTAATATCCAGTGTATGAATACTAACCTGTCATCAAACACACTATGCAAGGTCCTGTAAGAGATCATATAATTTGAATTTGTACTAATACTAATTGATAATACACAAGATTCAAATATTCAAGACGCACGAAATAATACATTGGTGTGTCCGTGTGTGTGTGATCTATGTGTATCAATCAACCAGAGTCTTACTGCCAAATATCAAATAGGGTTCTAGAACACCTACCCCCTGGACACCCACCCCCAGGATAACCACCCCAGTCAACTACCCCCTAGGACAACTACCCCCTTGGGCGACCACCCTATTGGACGACTACCCCTGGACAACTACCCCAGACAACTACCCCCTACGACAACTACCCCGGGACAACTAACCTATGGGGGTAGTTGTCTGGGGTGTAGTTGTCCGGTGGGTAGTTGTCCAGGGGTAAGTGTTCTAGGGGGTAGTTATCCAAGGGTAGTTCTCCGGGGGTAGTCGTTCAAGGGATGTCCAGGGGGTATTAAAAGTGTCCGGATACGATCAAATAGACATGCATGATAAACATGTTTGTACAAACAATTATCGAGCTAATGTTACAAAATAATGTGCACATGATTATAATCTTGTGTTTTTTTTTCTATAGTTTTATCCCTTGTCAGTTCCTATCAATGCCCAAACGAGACTAGAAATTACGGGAACTGACCTAGGAGTAGAATTTGACAACATTCTGGAAATTGTCATAGGAGACTTGATGTGCATTCTGACTGACATGGGCTCATTTTATCAGCCAGGACAGAGGTAAAAGCAACAAAAATAGCTTTAATTTGTTCGATGTATTCGTGTTTATAAACGTCTTTAAAATGGCCTCTGAATTATAACGGAAGAGTGATTTGTATTTGTTCCTTCATTAAGTTGCCGTATCATCGGCAGTGCTATATAATGCTATATATATGTTGCCAAAACTTTCTGCATCAAATGGTTTGGCGTGTTAGTATTCTCATGTACGCTTATTTGAGCACGTTCCTCCAAAATATATATGAAAAGTTGTATTTGTTATTCAACACATTAAATGTATTACATACATGAAGGTTTCCGTTATTTCAAACTTCACGATGACTTTATCGCACGAATATAACAAAAACGTACATAATGAAAACATAAGAAACGAAAAAAAAAAACTTGGCTGCAAAAAATGTACATGGCAAACTATCGTTGGTCTGATTTCTATTGTTGTTTTCAGTGTTAGCTGCATGACTGGTATATCCACTGAACTTATCTCAGGACGCATTGGAATCACAGTGAGGTCTGGTGAAAGTGATAAGACCGGAGAAAGTACGACCAAATTATTTTACAGGGTGAGTGCGTATTAAATTAATTACATGGCCTACTTTACTTTAACATGAGATTTGCTTAATGATGTCAATAAAATCACATTGAATATCAAAACCAGAAATACACTTGGAGAACCACAGCCGCTGACTTTTCGTTTGGTTTATGCCCTGCCATAGTACGCACAAATACTGGTGGCCTTGATTTTTTTATTTTATTCATGACTTGTCACAAAACCTGTTATGATGCCAGTCTTGCCAGTGAAGCAGTATCCATGAGCCAGTAAAACAATGCAAACTTACAGGTAATATGTTACCTCTCCTGACATTGCTTTGAATTCATATTTGAGATTTGGTATTTCCCCCGTGGAAAGTTTCTTATGGATACGGTTCTTGGAATTTTCTCTATGAGAAAGAATTTATATTAGTATATTATTATAATACTCTCATATCGGGGTTTCAAAGGAGATTATCGTAATACTCGGATACAACATGATAAAACGTTCAGCCATAACCTACTCCTAATTGATGAAATCCTTTTAAACGATTTATAAGATTAAATAATTTTCTTGCTAGGATCCTATTATATCAGGGTTTAGTCCCACAGAGGGGCAGGTAGCAGGAGGTACAGAGATCACAATTACTGGGATGTACCTCAACACAGGAAGGAACATTGAAGCTTCATTTGGAGAAGCACAATGCACAAATTTGTGAGTATCACTTATATATATTATGTACCTTAATGGTCAATTGTTGTTATACATGTTTTCAGTAACATTTATAAGGTGCTGCTAAATACGATTGGAAGATTGTAGATAAACTAGTAGATGCACTTCGAACTGCATTTTACTGAGGATATTTTTTTATGTGAATGAATTATGGAATAAATAAGTTTACAATGTAATCACAATCACCAAGTAGAATTCAGAAACACACGAACACACACACACACACCCTGGGCACTTTTTTAATTTTAAAGCATTTTTGTTTTATTTCTCCAAATGTGTAATACAAACCATAACATACAATTGAATAAAATAAACGTGTTCAATATTGATTGCTTTTACATAAACATATTAAACGTATAAGTACCTAAACATAATATATATGTCAATTGTAAATGTTATTCACTTATATAAAATAAAAAAAACTTAAACAAATCTAGAGGTAATTTTACTGGAACAATTTCTGCTCCTCCCTGCCCCCTCCCTCACACAAACACCCTCACCCACCTACCCACCCACCCCCCACACACACACACACTACTCACTCAGTGGATGTCTGCAAACATGCACCCATGCACACCTACATTGATTGGTCAGGAAAAGTGAGTCAATTTGATGTGCCCATATGTATAGCGATTACAATTTTCAACAATTCATAATTTTCTTATATAAGCAGATTTAATTGAAACTTTCATCAGTTTCCTTCTCTGATTTGTCTGCTTTCTTTTAGAGTGGTTGTCCATTTGGGTTGGATTTCCCTTCCTTCAGCACTAAAATAACGGAACACGGAAATTAAACTTAAACCCCCCCCCACCCCCCCCCCCTCCCCCATTTCGTCCTGTATGAGATATAGAGCTTTAATTTAATGAAATGTGTTCAGAAGACAGTTATACCGATCGGATTTGAATGATTAATCATTTTGATATGCCTGTTTCTACGTCTTAAACATTTTAATTGATATTATTCTAATGTATTGATGTTTTCTTTTCTTATTCAGGATTGTTGAAGATACGACTGCGACTTGTATCACAAGCAGCTTACACATGAATGAACAAGTCTCTGTGTTCTTGACTATGACATTTGATGGAGTTGAAAAAACTTTCGAAGACTTCACATTTACCTACTACCCTAACCCAATTATCGATGGCATTGACAGAACTGTGTCTATCATGTCGTAAGGAACAATATCTTTATTCTTGTTGCAAACTAGCGGGAGCCCTTTAGAATGCTAGGAAAAAATGATCGTCTGGCTATTCTCAATCGAACTGCTTTTTCTGCACATTAAATGAAAAAATTGTAATGAAAATATTTTTAAAGTCAATAGTGTAGAATGTTAATTGAGCGTTTAACGAAGTTTTAAAAAAATGGTTGTGTGAAGCTTCAGGGGGGGGGGGGGGGACAAATAGACAACATTGTGCGAATGGGCTGGGAAAATAATTCTCAATTGATTCTAAATATCTTTCCACTTGTCCACAATCTTAATTTTTCATGGATAGTAACGCATTAATTGTTGTCAGTTTTGCAAGTGACATTTTATTGACAAAGCCGCGTTTATGCAGTTCAATTTTTGTTTCAGCAATCTGAAAAGTGTAATTTCTTCTTCTAATACAGAGGAGGTCTCGATCTCAAGCTATCAGGACAAAGATTTGATCTCATCCAGGAACCCCGGATAATAGTTTCGTCACTGACAACAGATGCTAGTAACTCTGAGGTATTTATTTGTTAGTCTGCTGGTTGTTGTCTGCTTATTTATAAAGCAGACGTAGTCTGTTAATGTAGACATAACAAACACATCATCATGACCATGCAGCTTTCAGACCGTCAACTCTCCAGGAATCGACAGACTTCGAAAACGACAGACTTCTTTAAAAGTTTTTAGAGGATTCGCTAGACTGACGCTGTCGGTGTCGGGGACTATCAATCGCGTTGGATGATGGTCACGTGTGCTGTCGGTGTACTGCAAATTTTCTTTTTTGTTACATGAATTTGTGCTATTCGTACCGCTTATCGTTGAGACGTTAAACTCAACATTCAGTACCTATATCATTGTATGTTTCACTAAGATCATGATTTATCCGGCATCGTTGAATTTGATAACGAATCATTAGATCTCCTTCCAGTACTTGATTTCTAATTCCCCTTCAATAAAGTTTTGTTTATATTCATTTTGATTCAAGATGTTTCGATTTATGCTCCACAGCTGTGCAAAAGAATGGGAGTTCATCTCATCTGTTCAACTCCAAGCTTTCCTGACAATGTCCTCTCTACCAGAAAGAGACGAGCTGCACATGACGCAATAAAAGCAAATTTGTCCTTTGACTTTGACGGATACATCATCGATTACGGCTTAATGGACTACTACCCAGACCCTATTTATGAAAGCTTCAGTGGGCCAGACGGAATCTATGAAAGTGACAACAGTCGGCTGGAGATTGCAGTGAGTTGTGCATGTTTAATTTAAAAGTTTTATTTCAATTATCGTTTCATACTTCACGAATGATCTAGCTATTTTGGGGGAAGTGTATGTGGTATTTCCCTTTCTTCCTGATTAGTAAACTCCACCATCTGGTGTATTCTTGAACTGTATTTGTAGAAAAAATTGAATCCTGCATAATGAGTGGTATACTGCTGTCTAATCGTTAATATAATTATGCGTCATGTTACAGATTTGAAATGCTGTCACTGTTTCGTTACCATAGACAACTAGTAATTTCGTTTATCATGTACTTTGCCTATAACTACCATCCGAATTGCAGAATAAAAAGTGATATTTTTTATTCATGTCTTAAAGCCCAAATCCACTCCAAAAATAACTTACTTTCAATAGAAAAAGTCTGAGCAAAATCGGATAACTAATAAGAAAGTTACGAATTTGTAATGACTTTAAAAACTTTGAAATTCACTAGACAAAATTGGCACCTTACTCATGAGTCTGTGACGTCATATCCTCACGATCCACTAATTATTTTCTTTATACTGATGATATAAATTGCCTTTGTTCTCCTGAAGAATCTTATTTCTTCACACCAGCATCTAAGTTAGATTAATATTAATATGTTTTTGTGTGGATGCACTCATAAAGATTAATTTTTCCAGTTAAATCATGAAAAATATCAATTTTAATTAACTATTTATAACACTCAATAATTATGAATATACAATATTCAGGAAATATTATAAAATCTTCAAAGTACATACAAGATTTTGTGAAATGTCATGCACGCAATACGATACAAATCATATAACCTTGGCAAAGGCATGGGGAAATCAAGTTTTGGGGAATAAAAAGGGAAATTAATGGGATTAAACCATACAGATCAATTGACAAATAGTGAGGACACGACGTCACAAATTGACAACCATCTTGGCAATTTGTGTTGTGATTCTCATTTTTCCATGGTTTTACATACTTTATTCAAAAATTCCTAACTTTCTTATTAGTTATCCGATTTTGCTCAAACTTTTTTTGATTGGTTTGTCTGATTTTTCTGCTTTTATTGAAAGTAAGTTATTTTTCGAGTGGACTTGTCCTTAAATTAATGGTACTTCTATCTTTTGGAGAAACAGAATTTTAAACCTAAACACCACAGGATTGATGAAATAATAAATACCGTTCAATTTTCTTCGTCTTTTGTCACTATCGAGAATAAGCCTTAGTGGGGGGAACTACCGAAGTGTTAGGCTAAGCTAATCTCGTCAGCGATTGGAAGCAATCTACTACTAGCAATATTATCATACAGTGTATATTGGGAGAGTCATTTTCATTTTCATTCACTGTTAGTTGTTGGTTAATCTATACCTATACGCTCCTTCCATTATTTATTATCTTGTCATTTCTAGGGGGTGATTTTGAACTTGGCAAGCAGAAAAGATGATGTTCGAGTTGTGTTAAGTACTGATGAAGTCTGTCATGTTGATGATCTTGAGATTGATGTATTGCGCTGCCGGCTACCAAATGAGAAGCCTCAACCAGGAAACGTTAATGGAACAGTAGAACCTGGACCTACCCAAGATCTACCAGCTGTAACGGTATGTCTTCTTACTCATCTGGAAACTTGCTGATTTCCATTCCTCGTTTATTACTAAAAGAAGTCAAACTTACCCATTTTCTTAATGTTGGGGATGTGTTTGTGTAAAGATTTATTGTAATATCTAATCTGAATGTTTTTTTTTTTAAATTCGTATTTAAAAAACACCTTTCTGCAAATTTAAATGATTTTTAAAATTGTACACGAAATTCCTTTTCTGATACCCTCTAAAACCCAATGTTTGTAAATAACAAGGAAATCCGTAGCGATGAGGACGTCCTATCTCTGACTAGTACTACTAGTAGAAGGGATTCGTGTAAAAGAGTGTTAAATATTTCGTAATATTGTCTATTGGATACTGGTATCAACACTCCATAGGGTTGTTGTCTTTTTACTTAACTTGTGAGGGTGTTTATTGACAAGACAGTATCCTTTCTACTACCTGAAGTTTATTTCTCGATCATTATACCATTAATATTGGTTTTGGGGCAGTGTTGAAATTTGTTGTAGGATTTCATTCGTTCGTTTATGATTTTTTTTTAAAATTCATACCCTCATACGTATACATCTACTTTCGTCCATTATGGTAAAATTTGGAAAATTCACAGCACCATTTGATCTATTTAAAATCTTTGAATACTTTTAAATTGAATGAATCGAATTTTTTAATCAAGTGTCACTGTCACATTAATACTCATAAATATGTCTGTTTGAAAAGGTGATCAGAAGATGATAGAAATCAATCAATGAATCAAATCAATGACAGGTTTTTCATGGAAACTTGGTATTTTACCCTGGCTACGTGAAGTACTCTACGACGCCCATCGATACCGGTGACATTGTCGGTGCTGTGATTGCGACCGCTTTGCTCATCTTCATCCTCGTCATCATCGGCGTAATCATCTTTAGACGAAGTCATCAACAAATAAACAAACAGGTCCACGAGTTTGGGATGTTGGAGAAGAAGATTCAAGAGCGAGTAGAAACTGGTAAAGTTGTAATCGTTAATTGTCTGTGAGAAAAGCAACACTTTTTACTGTAACGGAAAGTTTTTGTACCCTTAACCGAAATTAATTCCTAACAATTAAGTCCAAATAAAGGTTTATTTATCAGTTGCGTTAATGATAAATGATTTTATTGTGACATTACTACATATTTGACGGGTTTATCAATATATTAATCATCCTCAGGTTATCCTAATATACTTTGATGACGCAAGTAATATCCAATCTAAGCGAAGAATTGGTTAGGTGGGTCTGGCTTAAACATTTCAAGGGTGGGGGTCGCACTGAATTTGCAAAAATAATCAGTCAAAATATTGCCAAAGTAACAAGTCTCCAAATGGGAGGAAATTGGTAGGGAACAAATTGCTTTCAATTTATTGAAGGATCTACCACCAAAAGGTAAATTTATGCCAACGTGTTTAGTATTTGGAAAAACATCTATCGATTATTATACTCTTGATTTTTTATTTTTTTCGTTTCAGCTTTTTATGAACTACAGGCTGACATGTCTGAAGTAGAGGAACAAGTCAGCCATCTCGGTGTACCCTTTGTGAATGCACTTGATTACTCCAAGAACATGCTCTTTGCAGGATTGGCCGTTTTACCACCAACCACAGACCCTGAGGTATAAATGTATTCACTTTTAATCTGGATTGATGTCTTGCCGACGGAATTAAGTGCCTGATTGAGATTCAAACCCTCAACCCTAGGGTTAAGAGTCAAGTAAATAAACCATCATACCACGACATCTCCACTATGTCTATGATTAATGCATATTGGAATAATGCATGCATTTGAAACATGACAAGCATATATTACATTTTGCTTGTAAGTATCGGATTGCATGGTGATGTAGATATACAGTAGGCTTGCGGATGCACCAGGAGTCAAGGACTCCTCGATCCTCAGGACTCCTCAATCCACTCTCTCTCTCTCTCACATGGTGCATCCGCAAGCCTACTGTATATATATATATATATATATATATATTACATTTTTGTTATCCTACCCTGTTCTGGTAACATTGAGTATAAAAAGGGGCAAAGTGACCCTTTGTTCATTCAAAATATTTCTGACAAATATCTACTATAACTATTATAACGAATCGATATGTTGCTAGTTACTGATGGCGATATATAAACCACATTTATTTACATTTCAGTCTGGTTTCAAATAAAACCAACACTATCAACATTGAAGAAAAGAAAAAAAAAAAAAGATTGAAATGGATGGATTTGCGAATGGTCTGTATAAATCAGAACCCCTATGATTTATCTTCACGGTCCGACCAAATGTTTTTATTAACTTAAGTTTTTCTATTTTCTTGATTATATTTAACATGTTTTTTCTGCAGTACATGAACTCTGATCTGGAGACTACAATGATCATGTTCTCTCGACAACTCAGCAATCCTGACTTCTTGAGCAAATTCATCAAGCATCTTGAAGAACAAAGAAAATCCAAGAGAGGGGATAGGTTTGTAACCATCTAGTGCTCTTTAAATTGCCCAAATCATTTTTGTTATTGAAGTTCTGAACAAGAGAAAGGGTTCTCTCTCTCTCTGTAACTGTTTTCTGTTATTCTCTCACAATGCCTTCCCAACATTTAGCACATGCCAAGCCCCCACCTTCCCAGATTTAGTTACTTTCTCCTCTCCCTGGCTCTATTTATCTGTCTGCTTGTCTGTCTTTCTCTCCCTCCCTCTCTTTTCAAATTCATCTTCTCCCTCTCCCTCTTTTTAAATTTATCTTTTCTCTTTCTCTATTTCTGTCTACTTTGTATTCCGTGTATCCTTTTCTCCCTCATTCTCTCTCTCTTTCTCTTCCTTTTGATGTGTTTATCACAACGTTTTGGGTTACAAATGAGTCTGTAATTTACCAATATTAATCAATCAAAGCACATATGAATGTCAAAAACATATACGAATAAGCTTTATCCATATATTTCGAACTAAAGATGAAAGTTAATACTAAACATCTTATTTGATAAGATTAAGTTACCGAGTCTACAGAAAAAACAAAAGAGACACTCCTACCTGATGGATTTCCTTATTTTCTATCATAGAATCAACATCGCCTCATTGATTACCGCCCTCTTGGTGACTGAAGGAAAGTTTGGATATTTCACAGAGTGAGTAATTTTTATATACCTCTCTTTAGTATGTTCAATAAAACTTTTAAACAAAAAAGATGTGTATTGCCCTTTAGGTGCCAAAACATGGGTCGGTCGGAATTTATGTTTTTGTTTGTTTTTGTTTTACTTTCTTTTTCTTTTTATCGCTCTCCCCCTTTGGGCTGATACTTTTTTCCTCTAAAAAAACGGTTTATAACAAAATCGAAATCTTTGGGTCGTTCGGAAAGGGCAATACATCTCTTTTTTAAGGCCTAAATCTAGTCATCTGATTGGTCGAAATTGGAGTCATGATTGCAGCCATGTCCGCAAAGAAAAAAAAATGCCCGTTGCCCCGGGCAAGGGGCAAAAGTTAATGACAAAGATGCCTGTTGCCCAGGGTAACAGGCCGCATGGTTAAATTTTGCTGAGAACCCCATTGGTTTACGTGTTAAAAGCTTCTTTGAGCGAGCGCGGATACCATACAGTGTGTTTGCGCGATTCAGGCAACTTACCAGTGAAGATTAACAGACAGTGTCTCAGATTTTTTTCTGTGATGTTTTAACCAATCCTCAAGATTTTTTTTTTTTTTTTTTTTTTTTTTTTTTTTGGGGGGGGGGGGGGATTCGGTATATGGACTGCTTTAATATTCGAGGCAAAGCTGTTTCTATACTCGCTCTTGAAGATGCCGCAGCGCACTTCGGGGTCATAGCAGGATGCAACGTCCCCTTGAGCCTAAAGAAATATGTATGCCTCTCATAACAGTCAATATATCTATAATATCACATCCACACCTCATGGTAGCTCTTACAAATACAAAGGTGTGATTGGTCCACAGATTGTCACGTGATATCTGATGTAAAGATCGTAATTCAGGATTTCACTCCCGGTCTTTGTACGATCATTTGTCGACGGTTATATTGACCATAATTATGGTCAAATGGGTATAAATTTAAAACCCCTTGATGAAAATACAACTTCCTTTGGCAGTCCAAAGATAATACCCTACCAGGCAAAACCTGTATAACAGTATTAGTATGACCTACTTTGTCAAAAGTATTCTATTATGAAATTGTGCATGTTAAAAGTTATTTTTAGGCTTACTAAACAAATGATCCATGAAATCATGACATAGAAATGCCATCATTATTACGATTCCTAATGCTACCGACCACTATACCAATTGCAATAGACATCTAGAAAATATAAATTTGTTGTGCTAAAGATAGGGGTAATGGTAGTGGTGGTTATTTTACATGACTGCTAAGAAGGCATAAATGCTTGTTAGTAAGCAACCAGAGGACCGACGGCTTTAGGTCCTCAAGGGGCCTTGTCATGAGGATTCATACCTTACCAAAGTGCACTAGCGAATTGACTTGATTTCGAACCCGAATTGCCGAATTACGAGACCACAGCTCCACAAACTGAGCAATCGCGCCTCCTCAAATATCCTTTAAAAGGAAGTTTGTTGAAAATGGTTTCGAGTACATTCCCAAATGTAATCAACTAAATCAACTTTGACGGACTCTAACTTTGCACATCAATAGACACTAGAAAATGTATTTGATTAGGACTCACAAAATAAAGTTAATTCCAAGGTGAAATAGAGAAGAGTGGAATAGTTGTAAACGACATAACAAAGGCTGCGTTCATGCTTAAATTTTGAAGGCAGAATGAGCGATCTGAAACGCTCATCGTAAACGCTCATCGTGATCGCAGTTCCACGATGTAGTGTTCATGCTTACTTCTCTGGCTCCCCAGGCAATTCTCCGTGTGTGGCCTTAATTGGTCTTCCAGCTGGATTCGCAAACCTTCACTGTGCATGCTACGTAGACCCACTAGAGGTCAGTGCGTTGACCCCATTTAAACGCGTTTACAAATTGTAAACGCATCTTTTTGTGAGTTTACGATCGGCGATCATGATCGCCGTTTTTCGGTGATTCTACAAAAGTGAGCTAAGACGCAACCGTGTTTTAAACTAAACGCGTAACAGATGTCTGATTCTGGCCGTCAAAATCAAGCATGAACGCGCCCAAAGAGAGTCATGAAGGTCATGAACATGATAACTGAAATAACGCTTGCCCTTTTTTTTTTATTGAAGAAAAATAGCGATAATTTCAGTTAAACATTTATATACTTGTATTTCTTTTTTAATCATACATTATCTTTCATATAAAGAAATCGGTCTGTTTCTTTGCAGGACGCTGTTCAAGCTCTTGGAAGAAAATATCGAGGAGGTAGCTGAGAGTGGTAGAGCACGGTCGCTCTTCAGGAGGTTCGACACATTGAGATTTTGAATTAGTAATATTTGAAAGGAATGCTTTTCACGATCGCAAAAAACTTTATATAAATAAGGTTAATGCGATTTCACTAGCATTGTCTGTCACCTTTTCGCACTTTGCAGTGACGTATTACGTACGTATTCTGAACATGATAAGCATGCAATAGGGTTTTGAAGTAGCCCTCGAGTTGATTTTCTAAAGTGGTTGCGAACGTGTTGTTTATAAAAAGTACATATGATGTATAGGTTGTTTGAAAGTGATAACAATATTTTGATATCGGATTGAATGTCATTTTTATTTTGAAAACGACTATTATTTTATTGGTTCAGGACTGAGACCATCGTTGAAAAGCTCCTCTCCAACTGGATCTCCCTCTGCATGTATCAATATCTGAAGGTAATTAAAGTTAAATAAATTGTTTAATTACAATCGAATAATAAAAATACGCTCATATATATATATATATATATAAGTAATACCAATGCCGATGTGATCATGACGATGGTGATATTCTTAAAACTAGGGATAAAACAAAATAACTATAAAATGTGACTTTTAAATTGGATGTATTATGCGTACTATAAGTGACGGTACAAAGTAGTTGGCACATCTACATGAAACATGAAGACCAAAATGTAGTCTAAACAGAGCATAATAAGTGCTTTCGTTATGTCATTTGTGGGACCAAATATGTCCATTGAAAATACTCTCAAATCTGCTTGAAGGATGCGAATCAAATCCAATTATTTCAGGATAAAGATTACCGTGCATAAAGAAAATCGAAATATTTACTACTATTGTAAATTCTTGCAACAATTTTTAATATATTCATCTTTTTGCAACAATACTTTTCACATTTGAGGAATTATATTATGTTTAATAAATTCATCTAGTCGTACTTTACAAAATTACAGAACGAAAATTGTGTCATGTAGCGTAAACTCGATTATTACCAACTTGCTTTGGCTTCCAATTTTACGCATATCATTTTGCATCAATATAATATCCTATTGAGTCTAATCGTGTTCTCCTCGTTGTGTATTTGAATACAAAAACACAGACGCAAGTGGCCGAACCTCTTTACCTGCTGTACCAATCCATCAAGATTCAGGTTGAGAAAGGACCTATTGATATCACCACTGGACAGTCTGTCTTCTCTCTTAACTTTGAATGTCTCTTGGAAGAAGAGGTGGAATTCAACGAATTGGTAATTCAGCTTTTCGTTTGTATCTGTTTAAAATAAAAGTATAAAACCTCGATGCTAATTTTCATTGCATTGAACTTATCACGTGCAGTCTTGCATCCATGATATTTCATGATAATTACGTCAAATAAAGTTAAAATATTTGTGTAACAAGGATAAATTGCGTTAACAGTGCTCAATTTAGAGTTGGAGAGAGAGAGCACGAGAGAAACAAATATAGAACAGCGTATTAAATATAAATTCCACTACTCACCTACCGTTCACTGAATGGATTTGTCTCTAAATATATTTCCTTTCTTCTCAAAATCTCTTCAAGTTCTCGTGCAAGTCTTCGTTCCTCCATTTCAACAAAGTTTATGGAATTAACAACAAAGAGAAGTTGGGGTGAAAGAACTTTTATAACTGCTGCACCCCGGTTTAATATGGAACTCCCTACCCCATTCAATCAAAATGTCAGCCAAACTTGAAAACCTACATGTATATAATGTCTGGATTCCTTAGTTATTAAAGATTTAGTGTATTTCACAATTAATTATATTTAATTATGTTTAATCATTTTCGTTCTCTGTAATTTCTAATGTACACTGCCGCTCAATAAGTTGGATTCTTTTTTTTTACCCCAATTTATGGAATTATTTTGACAATGATTTATTCCTAATAGATCTAGATTATAGTATACATTCTCAGATTTTATTGAATAATAATTTTCCAGTGCTTGTTTTACGTGACTGCTAAAGCATGTGTATGCTACTATGCTTATCAATTAGGGGACCTACGCCCTTAAGTCATAAATGACAGTAATGAGGATTAATGCCCCACAAAAGGGCACTAATATGGCACATCGACACGGTTTTGATCCTGGGGCCTCACATTTACAAGGCCGTTGCTTGGCCACTGAACCATGACTGTACGCAGCTGGGGCTAGGGTAGGAGGCATTTTCCACAAATATATATTTTTTTTAAATGCAATAAATTTTCAATAATTCATTGAATTCCCCGCCCTCCCCCCCCCCCCAGTCCCCAAAATAAATAAAAAATCCTCTTTACGGCCATGCATTATGGCTCAAGGCATGGGCACACAGAAGATTTGTTTCTGCCATTTATGACTAAAGGGCGTCCCCTAGTTGATAAGCATAGTAGCATACACATGCTAAAGCAGTCACGCAAAAAAAAAACACTGGCAAATTATTATTCACTAAAATCTGAGAATGTATACTATTATCTAGATCTATTAGGGATAAATCATTGTCAAAATAATTCCATGAATTGGAGTAAAAAAAAAAATATTCCAACTATATGAGCGACAGTGTACTTTCATATGTTAAATGTATCCACCTCGGTAGGGGCCTTAAGCATCCCTTGGGATGGATATGTTCGCATTATAAATTTTGATATTATTATTATTATAGAGAGTTGGATATGTTACATATCCACAATAACTGATCCATTAGAAATGACCAGTGGTTGTTCTTTTTGTTGATGATGATATAAAACTGTTAAGCTTTCTTTATCAACGTGTAGAGATACAGAAGTATGGTAAAAGTCAATACGTTTATCTAAACGATAATACGAATGCAGGATCTGGTGCATGCATACATAATTGATTGTTATATCACGTTCTTCCGACTTTGAGAAATATAGCCGCGGCATATGTATTGATAATTGATAAAATGACTCATACACACCGATTATTTTGGAATATTTTCACAGACATTGTCAGTAGTGGGTAGGGATAGGCAGCACAAGTACTACGTCAAGGTTCTAGATGTTGATTGCATAACTCAAGTCAAGCAGAAGATACTGGACGTTGCTTACAGGAACAGCCACACTGTACAACAGAACAGAGCTCATGAGATGGATCTTTGTAAGTATGCCAATGATAGTCAGCTTTTGCAAGTTTTCAAGGGAAATAACCTTGCAGAAACCGTCATACACTTCGGGAGTGGAGCCCTTTAATCGTAAGTCTTAACTTCTGAGGATGCAGTCCCCATGATGTACTAGGAAGGCATTGTATGGATAAGATCGCCTGACAGATGTCCCCGTTATATATATTTAGCCCGCTATTCTCTCTCGCTTCGATTCTTAAGCTTCCGTTAATATTATCAAATTCTGGCTTTCGGTTAATCTTTGCTATATTCCGATAAAGGCAAGACAGATAGATGTACATGTAGTATGTTTGTATGAATACTGATAGTAGTCGGATTGGTATATATATATATATATATATATATATATAGCGCTAGTCCACTGCCTGGACTGTTTCCTTGTCGCGCTAAAAATCAGCTGAGAAAAAAACATACCTCAACGCTAGACCAGAGACAGCCTTGCCTATCATTCCTTCACTCAATTTCGACGGGTGTATTTTCTGGAGCCGCGCGATCTGACAAAGATTCGACATAGCTGATTGAATAACAAAAAATATATGTAAAAACGGACAGTATATGGACTAGTATAGCGCTTAATTATACTACGTTTCTAAGCGCTTTACGTGAAGTTATAGTACATTGGTCACTGGATTAAATTACTGATCCGCGTATGAAAGTGCACACGCTCTGCTCCCTGGGGAGTAATCCAGCCAAACGCCATTTCAGTAGCGCACAAGCACTTACATACCAACCCAACAACATTAACGTTCGCATCCAACTGAGTGGCCGTTTTAACATATCGGTGGAGAGTTTTTAATTTAGATAACTGTTTTGCCAAAGGACATATTAGTGTCGCTGCGAGACTCGAACCGCGAACCATGTGATCCAAAGACCGCGACACCTCGACAGTATGTGTATTTCAGCTCCTATTCTTAGTTTTGTGTGAAAAATCAGAGGTAAACCTGACACCAGCATCTTTTTGTTTGTTTCATTTAGTATGGTATCATCCCGGTGGGCAGGAGAGAATTCTGAAAGATCAAGAATTAAACAAAACCGTTGGAAACACCAAGGATGTATTCATCAATACAGTCAAGACTTACGGAGTAAGAAGATGCTACAACTCAAATAACCCCTTATTATGTTGAAATTACAGTTCACACCAGTGGCATTAAATGGGCACGAGCCTTATGGTCATCGGAGAAAACAATTATAAGTTTGCCAATCAACTGTTTCAAATTTGGAATGTCTGCCGACCTTTGTGACGACAAGGGTTCGGTAACAATTCCATACTCCCTCTAGTGGTAAACCTTTTCATATGGTAGATAGAATAAATAAATATATCTTCGAATTACATTTTTACATACGATTTACTCTCTTCTTGCATGATGATGATTATTAATGCTCCAAATTGATTTGTGTTTCTAATTAAGAGTTGCTCCTTGTTCCTGCCATAACTAGTATATACATGAATTGATTCCGATTATTATCAAGATGCCATTAGCGCTTCTTTAAAATGACCTTCACCAACAAAGACGAAATCCGAAAACAGAAGATTTTTTTTAATTCGACAGTGGTTTGCCGAAGCTTATGCGACTTCATAAGATTTTGTTTGTTATGATTGTGCAGGTATATGATGGGTGCCAAGTAGCTCTGATTGTCAAATCATCAATGATTGAGACAGGGGTGCATCAACCTGTTACCCCAGGGGTACAACTCTTCCAACCATGTAGGTTACTGGTATAAAGAGAGAGGCACATCAGTGGCGTATCCAGCATACACGTAGGATGCAGTCGTCATAATCTGCCCTTCTCCATTTGAATGTTCAGATAACTAGACAACACCCCCCCCCCCCGAAAAAATGTAACTAGCTCAAGGTAGTGTGGCACACGCACATAGTCAGAACACACTCATGTGTAATTCGTTCAAGATTTACCCCCTCCCCGGGTGCGGGTAAGAATCTGCACTCACTGTTAAAAACTGTTTAGAACCTTCTAGATACCCAACTGTATACTTATGATTTTGCTTAATCAATATGAACAGCACCAAAATTCCTTGAGATCATGTTGATTTACCCTACCCCCCCTTCATGTATGTAAGAATAAAAGTCACAAGAAACGCGTTCTTTCCCGTTCCTTACTTTTCGCTACCCTCCATCTCCTTGTAATTAAATTACAAATATGAAATCTTTAATTTAACTATGACAACATTTGAATTAAACAAGATACATAAATTCCACGAAACATGATGTAGATAATGTAGGCCTTCATAATACACTTTTTTAAGATGCTTACCTTCATAGTACAAAATACAACATTTTAGACAATACATAATTGATGATATATTATTTCTTACACTATTTCCTCCAGACCATGAATATGCTGGTCCGGATGATGTCAGTGAAAGAGACCACATACGAATCCAGACTATGGAAAGTGGCGGATCTCGGATCATCCACTTGGTAAAAAGAACTAATTTTACGTCTCTCATCAACAGGCGAATTCCCGATAAATATCGTCTGTTCAAAACCAGCAGGGCATCAACTAATACACTTTAACACAGAGTCAACGCCCTTATGGTCACAAATATACGATTTGTGTATGTGTATATTTAAAGAAGTCCACATTGGGGATTTACAGAAAAGGGATGCCGGTTGGTTTTGCCCACCCAACCCTTCTCGTAGAAACAATAGTTTTAATGTCAGAAATTTCATGAAAAAGTCTATTCTCTACGCCTACCTTTAGGTACCGAGAGCACAATTATTTAACGAGTGAAAAGTCTGCTTACATTAATATGTGTATGTGGATGACTTTTTGTTCTTGACAATTATGCCCTTTTGTAGGAAATGAGCAGATATAGCAACAAATAACACTCCTCTGTCCATTCGTTCCATTGTTCAGTAGAATGTATAGAACTCATAGAATTGAAAGGTGTCTTTGATTTTGATATTGTTTTCTTTACATTTATTCTGCGATTATACTAATGCATATGCCTATTAAAGATAACTTAATTTCCATTATTTCTCAAATTTGCTATACATGTTTTATTGTTTAGGTTGCCGAGAACCAAGTACCAACACAGAGCAAAAAATCACTGACCAAGCTGGATCGTGAATTCTTAGCACCGCGTTTGCTGGTTACTAAAGTAGGAAAACTTTAATCTTTGTCACACGATTTATTTGTTAAAGCTTCATTTATGCATGTGTGTTTACTCGAGCCATTATACATTGATAAATAGAGTGATTGCTAGAGTTGATATGACAACTGTTAGCTTGGTATATTATCCCGAAGCTCGAAATTGCGTCTTCACCAGACCGATACGCTCATCACAAACTAGCTTGGACGGGCACAAATTAGCCCGCTATTTCCCGAATAGCGGGATAATTTGGACAGAAGACCATGATTTCTTGGGATATTTTCTTGACCAAATATTCCGCTAAGTGCAACTGCGGGCTGATGAAGACGCAAATTAACTGGTTTAATTTGCGATCGGGATAGTTTAAATAGCGGGTTAAGTCATGATGAATCAATCAAAATCTACTTATCTGGATTGAACGTAGGTGTAGTCGACCTATGACGATCTGACACTCAAGTCCAAAACGTAAACACACTTTTAAATATCAATACAATTAAACCGGCATAACTTTATTATTATTATTATTTGTTACTGTTTCATTATCGTTTCCTTACCAGAAAACAATTCAGCCTCGTCTTGATGAGTTTCTTGCCTGTGTATTCAAGAAGCCTGCCGAGACACCACACACCATCAAACATCTTTTCAATTTCTTTGATAAGATGGCTGATAAGTACTGCTGTGAGAAACCCGATGAGATCGCTGAAGCATGGAAAAACAATAGGTACTTCGCTGCGGACTCACCGTAATAGGGATGCTAGCAGGCATCCCTTCCGCCCTCCATTTCTCCTATTTTTGTGTGATATGAAGCCGCTCGCCAAATTTCGATGCTATTGGTCATTTGTTAAATTTGCGGCTTTTCCTTTTCTCTTCCTCCCCCCCCCCCCCCCCCTCCCCTCCTTCAGTCAAAAGTAATCTAGCGTAGTTTAATGGATTTGCGATAAGATACAGTACCGTACAGGGCCTGTCATACAAATAGGGTACATACATGTAGGTCTAAAGTGACAAAAGGTGTCATTTTACACATAATTAACAAACTTCCGTCAGCATATTAAGTTTTCATGTTTCAAAGCGGTATTTAACTTCAGGAAATATTGCAACCTATTATGAATAAGTTCAACAAATTTGAAAAAAGGGTTCTAAGAAACCCTTTATGGGAGTAATGTCAGTATTATCACATGATACCTCAGTCACTCTTATACGTTCGATACTGGGGCTCATATTCATAGAACTATACTAAGTCTAGTTGTTAACTATGTTCTATATACAGTCTATGTACATGTAATTTATTTTATGAATATGGGCCCAGAACGACAACAGAGCAGTCAAGTCATTAAATCATCCCCAATATCGGTCTGCTAAGGGGTGGATTAGGAGTTGGTTTAGCGATGTGGCTGAGGGCCTACAAATGTAAAGTTGTTCGGCTCATTAAGTTGATTGTTAGGGTTATATAGGTGATGGGCTTGAATATTGAAAATTCCCTAGTCAGATTTTCTTTAAAAGTTTGACCACCATTTTGTATTTGTTGTTTAATCCGTTTCCATTCTCAGTCTACCACTACACTACTGGATGACTACACTGACGCATCCCTCCTACGTCTTTGACATGCGTCAGTCACGGTCTGCTGACCAGAGCGTTTCGGTCTTGGCTAACATGCTGGACAATGCCTGCAAGAAAATCCGCTCAGGGAATATACAGGTTAGTCTAAAAAAGACAAGCTGCATTTAGCCTTAAAAGTCGGGTGAAATCCAAGTATAAAATGATTCCTGTTGATGTGCAGAACGGCATTTAACTCATGTTTTGCTATTCAAACATCTAAATATATTTCATAGATTTTTTAATATTTTTTATAGTCACAGTATCGCACAAATCCACTGGGATAGGTGGGATGTGGAGGCCTTAAATGGACAGTCCACCCTAATAACAAGTTTGTTTGAACAAAGGGAGAGAAACGACAAGACAAGATCTGTAGAGGTTTGAGAAAAATCGGACAATAAATAAGAAAGTTATGGATTTTTATTAAAATCCATAACTTTTAATGAAATAGTTCAAATCTGTGACCCAAATGCGGCAACGCGGATTCTAAATATGATGTCAACCCCTCACATTTTATCCTTTGTTGATGCAAGAAATGTCATGAAATTCCATTATGATCTGAAGATATATTTTCTTCATGCTTAGCTCGATCATATTTCACGTATAACATTTTCTTTCATGCACCCCCAAATAAGATAGGTCTACTTTTCTATTCACATTCAGAGAGATTGAGACTTTTGGTCATTCTGTCATTTATCACAATTTCTGACCGCATTGCCAATTTGTCTCAAAATTCCATGATTTTCATGATTTTGAAAGATTCATAACTTTCTGATTTGTTGTCCGATTTTTCTCAAACTTTCACTGAATTGTTTCTCAGGGTGGATTTCACCTTAAACCCTTCTGTTCCGTCTAGGACCTTTAAGCGATCTAACGAACAGGTGTGGTGGGCACTTTTATGGCCCCTGGCTACCCCAATGTTCTATTCTTCAAACAAACCCACCAATACAATTTTTATTACGAATGTTTTTTTCATTTATAATGTGCATTAGCTGAGGATTTACGTACAATACCAATATCATCATTTTCAATCGATACTCATGATTAATAAAAACAATAGTTGTAAAACAAAGCGGAATTCCGAGTACATCCTATTTCATGAACGCAAGTGTTTTAAAAGTTTGCCTCTGGTCAGTATTTCATGGAATCGTTGTACCCTCTTTCAGGAGTCTGCTCTCAATCGGGTCCTGTTTTACAGGGATCTTCCGGGCCACATCAGAACCATCGGTGAATACTATGAGAACATCAAAGGGTTGCCGCCACCAACGACAGCAGAACTTCAGGAGGATTTCGACGGGATCACACAGGTGATGATGCATGTCCTTTCTTATCTTTGCTCTGCATTAGCCTGAACCATATTTTTCAACAAACCACACATCCAAACATATACTATGCCAGTCTCTTTGTCAATGGTTCGGACACCGTTATAAGATGTTTATACTAGTATTAAAATAATATTAATATCAAATTACTTAATCGATGAATATTAATATGAATATGAATATTAATTTTAACTAATATTTATTAATATTGATATTTATTAATTAAAATGAATGAATTTTTATATCAATATTGGTATCAAATTACTATACCAAGCCTTTGTTAGCCTACATGTATAGTAGATTTGATATAAATTTGCAGTCGGGAGCGTTACTATTTATGCCTCTTCATTAGCTCATGTTTTTTTTAAAATACCTTTAATGCATTAATATTGAATACTTGTTTTATATCCCTCATTAGCGTGAGACATGAGCATCTCACTATTATTACATTTACAAAGAAGCATGTAATGTGAGCATTCAGCAGCATAGACTAGACTCTAGACCCTAGGCCTAAACCAAATAAAAGGGGAAGAAAAGGTGAATGACTTACCACATTAAAATTCCTTCTCCTTAGTTTCCAGGAGATTTAGATATCGATCGCAGAAATATCGGTTATCGCGGGGGGGGGGGGGAAGTGGATTCCGATATATACCACGCAAAATAGTTAAATTTCTCCCGCTCTCGATCCTGCAGTGAAACTATCCCCCGCTCCCCCCCCCCCACACCCAGTTTTATTTAGGGTACGCATATGCTTGTTCCCTCTTTTTGAAAGCACCCCCTATCTGAGGACTGCCAACATTTCCGAACCTCCCTTTCGCGGGCGTTTCGCGGGCGTTTCGCGGGCTTTTCCTGCACTGGAGACCCCCCTAAATCATGAAAAATGCTCAATTTACCCCCCTAAATTCGGAATAATTTCTCAGGAGTCCAAAGAGATGAGAGAGAAAAAAGAAAAAACACCCCCTTTTTGAAGAAATCTCCGGATGAAAAGTTAATACACCCCTTTTTTTTTTACAATTCTCGGGCCGGACTTTGTCGCACGAAAAGTACCCCTTTACCGGACATTTTGGTAGCACGCATGGGGTCCGTCCGTTCTCGGAGTGGGGGGGGGGGCGGGAACTATCCCTTTTTCGTGCTCTGTACAATCGTAATGCCAAAAGCTATACATTAGGGATACAATATACAAATTATACTGATAAATTGAAGGTAGCTGAACCATGGGCACCAAAAGTGTAAAAAAAATAACATCTTTTCTAAACGCTGTAGAAATACAATGTATTTTATTCTGGTTTAAGGTTAATATTGATGAACTTCTTATCATTTAGGAGTTGTTAACATGCACGGATAAATTGATACAGATTATGTAGGCCTAACAACAAAATAACATTCCTATGTTTGTCTTTTTGTTTTTTTTCTTTAGGACTTTTCTGGTCTGTTCAGTCGAGTGGTGACCCTCAACAAGCTCCACGACTTCACATCCCATGATACAAGTTCTCTGGTAAGTAGGCATATGAATTCTTCATGAATATATAGCAACCGTCAAGAGATTTGTCAAGGTGTTTGGTATCTAAAGACCTTCTATTACCTGAATGCAACTATCTCGTCTTTTCTCCACTCTCTCTCTCTCTCTCTCTCCCTTTCTCTCCCTCTTTCTCCCTCTCTCTCTCCCTCCCTCTCTCTCTCTCCTCCCCTTTCTCTCTCTCTCTCTCACCCGCTTTCACCCCCTTTTGTTTAGCCTTCCGCTTCCATTATGCATTGTTTATATATGTATTTTGATTTTATGAACAGTTTATTTATGATGAGGAATCAACTCAAGTTGTGCTTTTGACAACCCCCTTTTTTTAGAGATCATATATTTGATTGAAACTGTGATGATAAATAACATATTTAAAATAAATGATCATCAAATCAAATATTTAGAAAGCTCGTGGGATGTATATAATCTTGATTGGCCCATAACCAATTAGTTGAAACTTGTAAAATATCATTTTTGCGCACATTTTTTTCTTCTTCTTGTAATTAAACCCATTTTTGAATTTGTGTCTGTATTTTCCATGATTTTTATCACTCAATTCTACTTACTCTTATTGGGACTACGTAATCAATTCATTATTTGTTTTCTCACAAAGCTCATGTAGACACATCTTTTCTATGAGTTGTAATCTGTAGCTGATGAGAAAGTTTCGAAATCATAACTTCACCATGTTGACGTGTACAGTTTACAGTCAGCACAGAGACACTGAACAAAAGATACAGGCGATTAATCCTACATTGTAATGAAACCACTTTTATGCATCGAGTTAGGTGCAATGATCATGAACACAATTTTGATTATTAAATTCAGAGAGTCTTCGTATTTTCCAATTATTTCCCCCTTATCCACAGTTGGGTTCCATCACAGAGCCGAAGCCAAATTAGAGCCTTTATTAGTCATCATCGCACTTTCTAAGCTCTGGTTCACGATACTACATCGTGATCACGGCTTCAAAATGCTGTTATTCACTGAGATGGAATGGCTAAAAGGCGGCAACATTGTGTATAGTAAAAGATTATATTGATACTCAGATTTTTGCTCTTTAGTTTTATTAATGCAAAGTAATTTAAGTTTACTGAGGTGGTGTAGAAATGTATGTCTTATTACACTAAGTAATCACAATGTATTCTGACAACAGATACAATTTTAATTCGAGTCGTATTTATGTCGTAATTTGATATTGTTTCAAAAAATGTAATGTGGTTTATGTTTATATATATCATACAGATTGTAGCCTATGTACAGTTTTGGTAAGCCTCCTTATAAAAAAAAACTCGTCAGATTAGAAAGGAATTAACAATTTAAAGCTTATTCGATTTTGCATCTTTCTCCTTTCTCTTGGTGTATAAGATTAAACTTCTAGAAAATGATAACTGGATCACCTAGCCGTGGTCGAAGTTACAATTTTTGTTCGTACTGTCAAAGAAATTTGTATCATATCTTTACACAATATGTATCATTGACTTATCTTCTTATTGGAATAGACCAGATCGTGGTTGTATATATATATATAGCAGATTGTACAAAGGACTCCAAATATCCACATATCTTTACACATAGAGTAATTGTTTTAATTTAAATAAAAACAAAAGAAACCCAAGAGTAGATACTCGGGTATGGTATGGCGATAATAGGTAAGTCATAACTGGGAGATATGATGATGATGATGATGATGATGAACAGAATTTGAATGGCGCCATATATCTGTTTAAAAAAAACTATTCAAAGGCGCGAGCTCCTCCAATAAAATAAGCATTTAAATGTCTTTCTAAAGTAAACAATCCTGTCAATGGATATGTATTTCAGACCATTCAGCTCTTAAAATGACTCGTAACATTTTTTAAGATTGATGAAAAAATGTGTATTTTTTGTGAAATGTTATTTATCATATATTCCTTCTACTGTACTAACCCTCTATCATGCAAAAAAAAAAATCGCAGACCACAAAGATAGCTATGGTTTTCTTTGAAGGCGTCACTGTGCAAAACCTTCTAGCAGTAAATTCTCCCAACCATTTTTGAATTTCCCCAACCGTTTTTCCATGAAAAAAAGACACAAGACAGGCTTTTAAATTCGTTCAACACTTAAATGTCTGGAATGGTATATAGAGCCAAATCGTTGCTTTGTGAGGATTTACATTTGCCTAAAATGTAATTAAATTATAATAATTTAGTTGGGAGAATTAAGGAATTGATCAGATCAGTTTTTCCCAATTTTTGTCATTAATAATAGTCCGTTTTCACTCAAAATTTCATATTATCTTTAATTGTACATCTAGCATTAAAGTCACTACCTTTATAGCACCACTTTCTCTAATCTGAACAATGTTACAAAGTCCCTGTAAGCACCAAAGCCATGTAATCAATTTTTTGTTTTTAAATTCTTTTTGACCGAGTTCTTAATGCAAATAAAAATGTATGCTGCAATTGTGCCGCATTTTGTGTATAATTATTGGCTCTACATAATTATCAGAGAATAATAATGATATTTAGTATTTCATGTAATGTTATTACGACTATATTTGCTGTACATATCAAGCGAGGGAACATCAGGGGGAAAATACTATTGTATTTTCAGATTAACTGTACCTTAGATCAAAAGCATTTATTCAGGAAAAAATGTTAATTTACTGGGAATAAAGGATTAATCAAAATATGAAAATAATCAAGAAAAGTAAAGAAATGCATTTCTTGATCAAGTTTTAGAATGCTAAGGAGTTATATTAAATAGCAATCATTAATATTTCCCTTTAAATTTCGCATTTCCCACCTGTTTCTTTCTCTTGCTTTATTTCTCTCCTCCCTTCTGTCTCTGGACCCCTCCCTCTATTTCTCTGATCGGTCCCTCTCTCTCTCTCTCTCTTTCTCTCTCTCGCTCTTTGTATGTATCTGTCTATATCTGCCTGCCTGTCTCTCTCTTTTTGTATTACTTGTTCTATCTTAAGGAAAATTTGGTGTATTCTATTTTAATGCAAAGCTCTTCTGCATTCGAAATTGGGTGATAATGAATACAAATAAAGTATTGATTATAACCAGCGATTCTGTGTTTCACTTTGTTCATTTCTTTGTTTAAACTAAGTTATGTGTTGATGGTTTTTAGATGTACGCGAGACGAAATCATAAAGTAGTTGGAATATCAGGGTGGACTTCACCTTTGACCCCTATAGGGCTTTTAGGCAATTCAACGAACAGATGGGGGTCACTCTTGTGGCCATGTCTACCCCAAATTTCTTTCTTCAAACAAACCCACCAAAACCTTACTTTATTCTACACGTATTCTGTTGTCATGTGTAAAATTTGCAATGTTTTTTTTTTAAATATTTGTAAAAATGAAAAGAGAAAGAAAATCAAACATAATTAAATAAATTAAATCAAATCAAATATAATTGTTATTACATATATTTTTTCATCTCTAATGTGCATTAGCTGAAGACTTTTCCCAAAAAAAACTTTCAGTACCTTTACCTTTCAGGAACTCAAATGTATATTTACGTACAATGCCAACATGATCATTTTCAGTTGATACTTATATTAATTAATAATACCAATAGTTGTAAAACAAAGCAGAATTCCGAGTACATCCTATTTCATAAACGTGTTTTAACAGTTAACCTCTGGTCAGTGTTTCATGGAATCGTTGTACACTTCATTCGGGAGTCTGCTCTCAATTGGGTCCTGTTTTAAAAGGATCTTTTAAGCCACATCAAAACTATCGGTGAAAACTATGATAACATCAAAGGGTTTGCCGCCACCAACGACATCAGAACTCCAGGAGGATTTCGACCGGATCACACAGGTGATGCCTTGAGCCATAGTGCACGGCCGTACAGAGGGTTTTGTTTATGTTGGGGACCGGGGTAAAATGCAATAAATTATTGAACATTTATTGCATTTTTTAATTTTTTTATTTATGGAAACTGCCCCCTACCCTAGCCCCGCTGCGTACAGTCATGGTTCAGTGACAAAGCAATGGCCTCGTAACTGTGAGGCCCCAGGATCAAAACCGTGTCGATGTGCTATATCAGTGCCCTTTTGTGGGGTATTAATCCTCATTACTGTCATTTATGACTTACAATTAAGATTTCAGAAAATTTATTGTCATGTAAAAATACATACAATTATCCTTCGGACATTAAAAGGTGCTATACATCTACATAAATATATAAATATAAATAGAGACAAAATAATTACATTTCAACATAACATTTAACAATCATCACAATGTTAAAAAAGGCAGTGCAGTTTAAAAAGTTATGTTTTGTTATTGATCTCGTTCATCCAGGCACTTCCACGCCAGAACATCTCTCCAGCTATCACGCATCAACACACATACACAGACACACATGACACACCCCTATACACACCTCTTACGCACACGCACAATGTAACCGTACACGCCATACACACACACGGACACTGTAATCAACAGAAGTGCTCCGGCATAGAAATGCCTGGGTGGATGCCTTGGTGGAGGGCGTTGGTCCCCTAGTTGCAGGCATGTAGCCATGGGGAAGGGGGGTGGGGCACGTGCCCCCAAAATATATACAAGATCGGTTGAACTTTTTTAGACCCCCCCCTTTTTTTTTACCTCGATCGATTACATGTATGTCCCCCCCCCCCCCCAAACATTAAACTCTGGCTACGTGCCTGCCTAGTTGATAAGCATAGTAGCATACTCATGCTTTAGCAGTCACACAAAACACACATTGCCTAATTATTATTCAATAAAATCAGAGAATGTACACTATTATCTAGATCTATTAGAAATAAATTATTTAAAAAGTAATTCCATAATTGGGGTAAAATATTAAAAATATATAAAATATTGCAAATATATCAGCGACAGTGTATTTATGCCTCTTCATCAGCTCGTAGTTTTTGAAATGAGCATCTCACTATTATTAGTATTGTATTTACAAAGAAAGATGTAGAGTCTACGTTGAGCATTTAGCAGGATAGGCCTAAATTAAATTAAAAGGGAAGAAATGTGAATGACTTACCAGACTAAAATTCCTTCTCCTTAGTACCAGAAAACTCGTCTTTGGTAATGTCCACATTTCTTGACTCCCAGAAATGTATTTGTAGGCTAAATTGCAAAGCCTGCATTGTTTTCTTGCTGTAGTATTCCCCGTTTTGATTCCGAGCTCCAGCGTATAGATCTACTATACAGAAATGCGAGAGAAGGAGGTCTGGGGCTTCGTTATCCAAATCATCATCAAAATCGGCTTGTATTTCCATTCAGAAGTCCCGAAACACAGAAGTCAGTACCTGACCTGTTTCTTTGTGTTTTTGCTGTCATTTCCTTCGTTAAATTTCAACAATTTTTTCCACATTTAGCAGGTAAACGCGGGAAAAGATGGCAGCCATTTCACCACGGTCACTACTGGAAGCAGCCATTTTGTCGAACTATGTTTTTCAGCTGCGTTTCTCTATGCGTTCTCCTATGCGCAGGTAGCGCCGGAACTCTTCCGATAACAATGCACACCGGCTTAAGAAAGTTCAAGCCGGAATTTTATTTGCGCACATATTTTCTTTTTTTGTAATTTAACCCATCTCTGACTTTTTGTCTCTATATTTCACGATATTTCTCACTCACTTCTACTTACTCTTATTGGGACTATTTTATCAATTAATTATTTTTTTCACAAAGCTCATGAGGACACATCTTTCTTATGTGTTGTCATCTGTACCTGATGAGAAAGTTTCGAAATCATAATTTTACCATATTGACACCAAAAAAGGCAAGATACGGGCATTTAAACCTTCATTGTAATACCACCGCGGCATCAAGTTAGAAGCAATGATAATGAGCACAATTTTAATTATTCAAATCAGAGAGTCTTCTATCATTTTCCCTTCATCCACAGTTGGATTCGATCACAGAGCTGATGCCGAACCAGAACCTTAAGCTATGGTCACAACGCCCAAAAGTAGCCTGCTCGGCGGCCGGGCGGCGAGTTTTTAGCCAATTTCGCCGGGAACCGACCGGCAGCCGCCAGGGCAACCTCCCCCCCCCCTTTTTTTGTTAGGGCATCGCTCGGTCGCCGCTAAAAGTTTAGCGCGAAGTTAACAAATTTTGGCGCCTGCTCACATTTAAGTCGCCGGCCAAAATACACTCGATGACGGGCGGTCGCCGACCGGGCACCGACCCAATCGAGCGTTCGCCGTCAAACGATTTAGGTCAAAAAAACGAATCCACTAGGTCAGAGCAGGCGCGCCGGAAGCAGTTTGGGATTGGGGGGGGGGGGGGCGAAAATTCCAGGGGGCTCACCTTCCAGGGGCAGTGACGTAATGAAAAAAAAGTTCGGAAGGGGGGGGGGGCAGACGAAAAATCTGCATCACCACCAGTCTTACACGTTACATGCAGGTCCCGCGGAACGTTTTTTCAAAGTGGAGTATTAACGATCAGGTAGAGCGTAAATTGGCGTGGGGTCCAGGGCATGAGCCTCGGCAGGGGGTCAAAGGGCTAAGCCCCCGGAAGCTCAGCTTTTTTAGGCATTTACTTACGGTTAAATGAGCATCCTGGGGCCCTCTTTAAGGCCATTGACGTGTTCCAGGGAGGGGAGAGCTCCCAGAAGCTCAGAGGTTTTAATATTTAACTACGGTCGGATGAGCATCCAGGGGCCGCCTTAGGGCCCTTGGTGGGGTCCAGAGGGCAGAGCCCCCGGAAGCTCAGGGGTTTTAGGTATTTATTTACAGTCGGATGAGCGTCCAGGGGCCCGCCTTGGGGCCCTTGGTGGGGTCCAGGGGGGCAGAAGCCCCGGAAGCTCAGGGGTTTTAGGTATTTAATTATGGTCAGATGAGCATCCAGGGGCCCGCCTTAGGGCCTTGGTGGGGTCAAGGGGCATAACTCCCGGAAGCTCGGGGTTTTAGGCATTTAATTAAGTCAGATGAGCATTTTTTATACCTTATTTGTGACATTGGCAGTTCACTTATTTTTTTCTCTCCGTCTTTCTTTCTTGTTCTCTTTAACATACTTTTTCAAAAAGTGAGGGGGGCCTCGAGCCAAGCCACTCTGCAGACCATGACATTAAGGCTTCTAAATAAGCGTATTTTCCGCCCGACTGTAATTTGGAAATTTCTTATTTTCCAACAAACGCATAAAATGGTATGACTTACCCAAAAATGGAGAAAAAATACCGGAAAATCATGTCTTAACAGCAAAATTTGTAAATCACTGGTATCGCATAAGAGATAACCCCCCCCCCCCCCCCATCAGTACGCCAGCATTCAGGGGCTTGTGTCTTCTCACCCCTATAACAGCAAAAAACAGACACGCTTTCCCATTCTCGCACAATATGTCAACGATATGTGCGTATCCCTATTAAAAAGACCTCTATTGATAAATACCGTATAGGTGGCATGCGCAATGTTTATGAAATTTAATTCCTGTGAACTTTCCTTTTCTTTGAATGGAATTGTATATGTGATTTACTTCAGGTTTTTATTATTGTTATGTTCTTGTGGGTTAAAAATACAAACCATGTTTACTCCTTTACTGCTTTTTTTTATCTTGGAGGGGGGGGGGGCGTTTTGGAGGGACAAAAATGCGTTTTGCCCCCCCCCCCCCCTTATTTTTTTTTTTGGGGGGGGGGGGCCCACTTCCGGCGCCTATGGGTCAGAGGCTGCGGAGCGGACGTCGCCCAGTCGCTGCCCGGTCGTCGCTGGGAGATCAGTCGGTCACTGGGCGGCGAGTTCAAATTCGGTCGGAATTGACCTATTATTAGTATTATTTATTGCTTAGCATAGTGAAGCTCAATTAAAATACATCACAAGTCGAACAAGACAAAGATATCTTATGTCCTGCTACCACAGTGTATGTTTTGTTTCTTTTTCATATATATTGTATATGTTTATATGGTACATGTAACAGGGGCGGCGATTTATTTTCATGACCGGGATGGAGGGGGGGGGGCGAGGGATGAGGGAGCAGTGGCGTAATGAGGAAAAGGGTGTTTGTTTGTTTTGTTTTTGTTTTTTTTTGGGGGGGGGGGGCAGAAACAATCTGCATCACCCGGAAGAAGGAGGATACTTTGGATGGACAGTCCAAAGTTTAAAATGGGGGTGGGGTAAAATATTTACGATCAGATAGAGCAAAGCGAGCGAAGCAAGTGGAGCGTAATTGGCGTGGTGTCCAGGGGCGAAGCGTCATGAAGCTCAGTGATTTTAGGAATTTTATTACGGTCAGATGAGCATCCAGAGGCCGCCTTAAGGTCCCTGGTGGGGTCCAGGGGGCTGTGTCCCCGGAAGCTCATGGGTTTTAGGCATTTAATTGCGATAGGATGAGCATATTTTGATACCTTATTTGTGACACTGGCATGCAGGTCACTAATTGGAGTTGGGTAAAGGGGGTGTAGCCCCCATAATCTAAGGGGTTTTATGCATTAAATAACGATCAGATGAGCATCCAGGGGCCGCTTTAGGGCCCTTGGTGGGGTCTAGTGGGCAGAGCCCCCGGAAGCTCAGGGTTTTGGGGCATTTAATTACGGTCAGATGAGCATCCAGGGGCCACCTTAGGACCCTTGTGGGGTCCATGAGGCGGAGCTCTCTAAAGCTCAGGGTTTTTAGGCATGTAATTACGGTCAGATGAGCAGCCAGGGGCCCTTGGTGGTGTCCAGGGGCAGAGCCCTCTCAAGCTCAGGGAAAAACCATGCCATTTCAGCAACATTTGTAAGCCACAGGTATCGAATTAGAAATAAACCACGTTTGGATTTTATTTAGGGGGCAACTGCCCCAAAGCCCACCTCCCCCCACCCTCATCAGTACGCCAGTGCGAGGGAGCATAGTAAACGAGAGGGGTGAAGGTGACAGAAGTGACTACCCCCTCACAGGTTTTTGAAGTATTGTTGTATTGAAAAATTACATTCCTTAGCAGAACTATAGTATAAAAAAAAAGTATATACCTATTTCACACCACACTGGTGTACACTTTGAAGGTTATTATTCGAGGGAGCGAGAAGAGTTTTTCTTTTTTATTTATCTAAACGCTCCACTCCTGGGCCCTCCAGAGCCTAAAAGCGTGATGATGGTCTTTAATCAGCATTTGCTATACATTTGTGTAGGTTCCCCCCTAAAAAAAAATGAAGGGAGACCCCCCCCCCGGATCGCCGCCCCTGCATGTATGTATATTAAATACAAAGTAAATGGTTCAAATTATAATCTCATTTATTATTTTACTGTTTTTATTCTTAAGTCATTCAAACTGTGTTATGATGTCACATGTTTCATTCAGCTAGCCATTAAGATTGGTGCTTACTAATTCAGTTTAAACAAAGAAATGAACAAAGTGGAACAAAGAATCCCTGGTTATAATCGATACTTTATTATTTTCCATTATCACCCAATTTCAAAAACAGAAGAGCTTTTCATTTAAATAGAATACACCAAATTTACCTTAGAAGATAGAAGAAGTAATACAGAAAGCGGAAAGAGATAGAGAGGCAGACAGATGCATACAGAGACAGAGAGGGAGAGAGAGATAGAGAGATCAGGGAAATAGAGGGAGGGGAAAGGAGACGGAAAGCAAGAGAAAGAAACAGGATGGAAATGCGAAATTTAAAAGGAAATATTCATGATTGTTATTTAGTATAACTCCTTAGCATTCTAAAACTTGTTCAAGAAAAGAAGACACGCACTTTCTTAACTATTCTGGATTATTTTCATATCTTGATTAATCCTTTGTTCCCAGTAAATCACCAGTTTTTTTCTGATTACATGCTTTTGATCTAAGGTACAATTAATCTGAAAATACAATAGTTACTTTTTTCCTGACGTTCACCCACTTGATATGTACAGCAAACCTATTCGTAAAGATATTAAATGAAAGACTGATCATAAGAAAAACAATAATTTCATCAACTTAACTTATTAATGAAAACTTATTTTGTAATGCATGCACCACTAACTACAAACGACACCTCAAAAAATTTGTCGGTTCCATGAAGTAAAAACAATTTAAACAAAATGTGGATTACATGGTTTTGGTGCTTCATGGGAGAGCTTACTTTAGAAATATATATTTATCCTTGTTATGATATACCTAATATGGGCATACCATACCAGAATATCACCTCTTCGGTTTATAATTTATGTTGGTATATAAGCACTGTACACAGAAAGATGTATATGGGACTACACAAACATGTAGCCTAAAAACGAGGTCCTCATTTTTAAGCTGTTACGTGTCATATTTAGAATATGAAGGCATTTAAAGAGCCATGCTTTTCAAGGAACATTTTTTCTCTGATGTTCTTCAAAACGTGCATAATAACAATGAAAATGCTCACAAATTATTGTTTACCTCTTTCCAAAACTCAACCCTCTCTTTAATATATTCAAAAATACATTATATTTTGGACGAAGTATCTTTAACTTTGCATTTCCGTATATAAAGTTTTTTCGCAAATTTAAGACCAAAACAACCATTACAGAAATATTCGCATATGCTTTCATATTGAGGATTTATACTGATAAGATAATGCATGGGAATCATGAACATCCAGTGATTTGTATTAAACGGAAGGGTATCAATCCGCTATCGTGATAAAAACACAATACATGTGTAGTCTCAGCCCTTTTTTTTTATAGATTAATATCAATAAGCCAGTTCCTAGCTACAAGGTGCACATGGGCAGATAAACATTATTTATACCAAAATTGCAAAACCGACCAAGACGAATACTGGGAATGTGCTAATAAAATTATCATTGTTTATTTGTGCACAGACAGGAATTCAAATGAGACGCAGCTAGAATTATTCTTCTCAAGAGGGCAAACAAGAGGTTTTCTAGAATGAAGATTATTCTATAATGCACAAGGTGTGGACTAGGTCTATCCTATGTGTAAAAGATCTGAGGACATTTGGAGTCATTTGTACAATGTGGTCTATTCCAGAAAGTCGTTCATTTATGATACATGTGTAAAGATATGATTCAAATTTGTTTTGACAGCGAGAGGGGAAAAAAAAGTAATTTCGATAACGGCTAGGTGATCTAAATTAATTTTTACCAAATTGTTACCTTTATCTAACACCAAAGGAAAGGAGAAAGAGACAAATCTAAAAAGCTTAAAATTGTTTTCTAATAATCAACATAACCAAAAGAAATCTGACGATTTTTTTAGTAGGCTTACCAAAACTATATTTAGACTACATTATGTAAATATAAACAGAGAAGATATAACGATTCTTAAACAATAGCAAAATTGCGACAAAACTACGACTTGAATTTAAATAGTAACTGCTGTACCGAAGTAAGAATACAGAAAGATTACTTAGTGTAATAAGACATTCATTTCCACATCACCTTAGTAAACTTAAAGTACTTTGCATTTCTAAAACTAAAGAGCAAAAATCCGAGTATCAATATATTCCTTTACTATACACAATGTTGCCGCCTTTTAGCCATTCGATCTGAATACAAGCATTTTGAAGTCGTAATCTCGATGTAGCATCATGAACCACGAGGAGAGCCTGGAAAGTGCGATGATGAAAAAGGCTCTAGTTTGGCATCAGCTCTGTGATCGAATCCAACTGTGGATAAGGGGAAAATGATAGAAAATACAAGCATCAAAATACGAAAGCAATATGACAAAATAACAATGGTAGCATCATAAAAGATTTAGAAATAAAAACGAGAGAGCGAGAGAGAGAGAGAGAGAAGGAAGAGGGTAAGTTCAAGCGGAACATTTAAGGTCTGTAGATATTAATCTACATTTGCCACTCTCAACCCAGGTGTTACATGGGTACCGGTAGGAAGGAATTCCGTGAATGCTGTGAGCGCCGAAATCGGCAGCCTAGCAGAGCCGGGGTAATAGTTGGAGCGCCTTGAGCACCATGCATGGTGGATATGTGCGATATATAAATATCCAATATTATTATACCAAACAACTAAACGAAAGTCCTGAATTTTGCTAAACATTCATGAAGTAATCATCGGCCTACTAACCAGAGGACCTGTGTCATGAGATGTGAAGTCATACAACTTGTTGAGGGTCGCCACTCGACTGAACAGACCAGAAAAGTCCTAGAGAAAAAACAAACACAAACATAGGAATGCTATTTAGTTCTAATATAGTCTGTATCATGTTGTCATGCAAGGAGACTAGCCATGTTTCTACTTAAAGCCAACAATTCTTAAGTCATGAGGAATACATTTATCAAAACAATTAATATAAAATAATATACATTGTAGTTCTACGGCGTATTACAAAATGCGTTCATGTGTTACACGTTCAGTGCCCATGGTTGAGCTACCTTTAATTTATCAGTATATATACTATAAATACATCTAATGAAGCTTTCTGATCAATAGGCAAAAAGACTGCCATAGAAAATATCTGTTTGGATGTGTTGTTTGTTGAGGAAAAATGGCTACGAGCAAAAAAGTGCAAAGTTAAAGAAGAGCAACAATTAATCATCACCTGTGTAATTCTGTTGAAATCCTCCTGGAGCTCTTCTGTCGTTGGTGGCGGCAACCCTTTGATGTTCTCATAGTATTCACCGATGGTTCTGATGTGGCCTGGAAGATCCCTGTAAAACAGGACCCGATTGAGGGCAGACTCCTGAAAGAGTGTTCAGAAAGTCAATTTATTTGTCGACGAATGGTAAACTTTTTTTTTTACTAACAGATAAGTGCATAAAGTAGTTGCACTGTGAATTCTGCTTTGTTTTTTTTTGTTTTTTTTAATCATCATTATCAATTGAAACTTAATATGATGCTAGCATCTAATACACAAACCTAACCCTTGAAAGTAAGCAATGTACCGGTATAGAAAGTCTCCAGATCAAATTAAAGACGAAGCTATACATGGACTAACATTAATATTGCCAATGTTATACATACGGGAAAGCAAACATGTTGTTGGAAACTTACAAGCTATCACTCCAGTCGGACCTGGCTGTATGTCTTATTTATTTAAATGTTTTTCTTTGTTTTGTTTCTTGCTTTACTTCGGAAAATCTGGCCCGATTTTATGTTTTAATATTGTTACATATCCTGTGATTGTTTTTTGTATAGTTCATGTAACACTTAGACATAAGAGAAACAACATTTGAATGTTATGCGCGGTATGTTTTACATATTTATATGTTCACTATGTTTTTGAAATATGAAGGTTTCAGTTGATTATCAATCATTTAGGAAAAACATTTTTTTTTAATAAATTGTTATAACTAATCACTTTAAAAAAAAGAAGAAGATATTGGCCTGGTGAGAGGTCGTCTGCCTTCAAGGAGGCCGTGACTGCATTTGACAATAGGGACTTTTAGATTTGCTCGTCGACATAGTGGACTGCTACGTGTGACGTCTTTTCAGGCAATGTGACGTCCTTTTAAGCCGGTGCCGGTGCCTTAAAAGGACGTCACACGTAGTAGTCCATTATGTCAACGTGCAAATCTAAAAGTCCCTTATACAAAGCTGTCAGTCGACGTGTTTGAAGAACGTAAATTTGATGAGAAATCTTCCAACAAACTACTTTGGGTAGGACAAAGAACTTGAATATGTCTAGCGAATAATGATGCAATACACATGAAGAATGACTACTTCAGCTTGTATATATATACTGACCTGCGTATTCTCTGAGCGGATTTTCTTGCATGCATTGTCCAGCATGTTAGCCAGAACTGATACGCTCTGGTCAGCAGACCGTGACTGACGCATGTCAAAGACGTAGGAGGGATGCGTCAATGTAGTCATCCAGTAGTGTAGTGGTAGGCTGAGAAAGGGAAGAATGATGCAATGAAGAAAAAACACACGAATAAATCGATTGTAAAGACTTTCAAGAAATCAATTAAAGGCACACTGTCCTACTTGTAGCTACTTGCTCCCTCTATATGGAAAACTGCCCCAATCGGTGCCCGTTGGTCCCCTATGATCCTCTTTTTCTTATGTTAAATGAGAGCTGAGTTAATGAGATATCCACCTGTCACAGTGACCTCGCTGGCTCGCTGGGCGGTCTAATCCCTTCTGGCTGAAGTAGTAAAGCCTACCTTTAATGGGCAATGTACCTGTAAATAAGGTGACACTACAATCACCTTGATAATCCGACTATTTGTACTGATACTTTGATCAGCAGGCTATTTCTGACGCCCCTCTTAGCTAGACTTGACCAATTTTTACTTGAAGGGGGAGAGGTATTCCCATGATATACACTAGCATCAAAATTTGCCTTGTAGTCTTATCACACCGAAAATGGGGAGGGCAGGAGGCGGGAGCGATGCCAGATGGTTCCGCCCTAAATGGTGGAAACGCCAGCTTATTAATATACCTGTTACTCTTCCATGCTTCAGCGATCTCCTCGGGTTTCTCATCGCAGTACTTATTGGCCATCTTATCAAAGAAGTCAAAAAGATATTTGATGGTGAGTGGAGTCTCGCCGGGCTTCTTGAAGATACAGGCAAGGAACTCATCAAGGCGAGTCTGAATCGTTTTCTGGTAAGAAAATGATAATAATATATTTAAAACATTTAATAATCATGATCACGTTATGTCTTTGTAATTGGTATGATATTAAAAATGTGTTCACGATTTCGAGTTGAGTTTGAGATTTGAGGAAAGCCACAGGCAAGGAACTCATCAAGGCGAGTCTGAATCGTTTTCTGGTTTAAAAAAAATGAAAATAATATATCTATATTTTTTTAATAATCATTGTCACGTTATGTCTTTGTCATTGGTAAGATCATTAAAGATGTGATCATGATTTCGAGCTGACTTTGAGATTTAAGGAAAGCCATCGCTTGCTTTTGTGTGGCTCGTGTAAAAAACACATGCATAAATACAGCTTGAAAAGATAAACTGTTTGACAAAGACTAAAGTTTTCCTACTTTAGTAACCAGCAAACGCGGTGCTAAGAATTCCCGATCCAGCTTGGTCAGAGATGTACTGCTCTCTGTGGGTATTTGGTTCTCGGCAACCTAAACGGTAAAAAAGATCAAGCAAATTTTCGAAATAGTGAATATTATTTAATTCTCATAGATGTTAGAATGGTCAAAGAATATATATAGTGTAAAATTGTAAATACTATCAACATTAAAGACACCTTTCAGTTCTTTGAGTTCTATACATTCTAATGAACGATATCTAACGCAGTATCTACGTTTTCTTTAACAAATGTGAAGAAGTAGTAGAACTAAAGTAGAAAAAGAAAAGAAAATGGGCCTAATTGTCTATTTTTTCATCCACATACACAAAACTGAGGTATGCAGACTTTTCACTCGTTAAATAATTGTGCTCTCGATACCTAACGGTATGTGTACAGAATATATTCTTTAAAGAAATGTCTCCCATTTAAATCATTGGCGAGTTATATACGGGATGGTTCTAGGACAATTACCCCCTGGGCAATCACCCCCCCCCCCGGAAAGTTACCCCCCGGAAAACTACCCCCAAGGACAATTACCCCCCGGAGAATTACCCCCCGGAGAATTACCCCCCGAGGACAATAACCCCCTAAGGACAATTACCCCCCGGAGAATTACCCCCCGAGGACAATTACCCCCCAAGGACAATTCCCCCCGGAAAATTAACCCCCGGACAACTACCCCCGAGGACAATTACCCCCCCCCCCCCCGGGGACAATCAGGATTCAATAGCAAAAGACGATCTGTCACGTTGAGAGATGCTGTGAAGGCTACGAGCCCATAAAATCCCGTGCATGAACCCACATTCGTTCAAATACTTGCGCGTGATCTTCCTCATTACTACACATTTTTCTTATAAACTATAATCTATGCAACAACACTGTGGTTGCTGTTTTCTACGAAGGATTTCTCTTGTGCAGCGTTATTTCAACTTTTTGTTCGACACGATGCCCTCTTAAGAAATGAAAATTTTCGCCCAATCTTAAATTCTTCACAAACTATTTATTTTGCATCACTCTGGCACTCGTCAAGTGCTATGTACACACGTATGGGCACATTTGTTTCTTGATTTAGTGAACGAGCAAGAAAAACAAGGACAAGACATTTTCAAAATGGTAAAACATAATGTTGTAATCAACACACTAGCACAGATTTAAGGTATGCGGGCGCCTCACCGCCGAATGTACACGAATATAAAGTGAAATATTCGGTCATGACCTTGATACACGAATATGAGGATATTCGGGCCTCTCGTTGCCTTGATTCATCATGTTTATAATTGTGATGAGTGTGGTAACAATGTGATGTCGAAATAAAAGATATATATTCGCAAAATATTGTCAGTGAGCAAGGAAGAAAGACATTTTATTATTTGTTTACATTTTATTTTCTCATGAAAATAAATACTCTACCCGTTTCTGATTTTCAGAAAATCAACGTTTGCCAAAAAAATTGTCATGTAACTAACATTCTCTTGCGGCACCCCAGTTGAAAAAACGCTGCTCTGGAATTACAAAATCATTGAGATGAATGTACCCAAGTGCGGATACTTATTTTCTTTTAATATGGCACCGTACATAACATATATTTAACTTGAAGGCAATTTTTATTTCAAAATAAATTACAGTACAAGAAAACATATTTTAGTTCACCATGACAACAGAAATATATATATATATATATATATATATATTACATTACATTTATAAACATGAAGAGAACCTTAATTTTGGAATAGATCATGGATGAGGGCCCATTATACATACAAAGACAAATATACGATCAGCTGATTAGAAAAGTTACAGAGGATGCATAAATAATGATATCTTACAACCTAATTTCTTTGTTGGGCCATTTTTGGGGAGACTAGCTGTATTAACGCGTACTCATCTGCGCGCAATGTATTGTTAAATTTCTAAGAAATGTAAATTCCGTACTTTGATTTGATACATGCGTCTTCTGGCAATTGAATTCGATTTTATACATGCGTCTTCTGGCAATTGAATTTGATTCAATACACGTGGCATATTAAGTCAAACTTCACAAAGGTGGAATGGATACAGAGCGAGAGGGGTGGGTGAAATCTCCTCCTAGGAGGATACATGTACGTCAAGCAAAAAGATTTGGCAGATGGGTACGAGGGCTTTGAATGTGAGCTACGAATATAAATATAATTTATACACAACCCCTGTACGAAACAAATCTATTCCGTCATAAATAACTAAGAAAATGAAAGTTCATGACATTTTCTCTAAATAGCAATTTGAAGAGGAGCTCGCATTATACGTCACAGTGTTACAAATTCCCTGGGGGTGATTGTCCTCGGGCCGCGGTAATGGTGTTTCGAGGGGGGGGGGGTAATTGTCCTCGGGGGGTAGTTGTCCTCGGGTGGTAATTGTCCTCGGGGGTAGTTGTCCTCGGGGGTAATTGTCCTCGGGGGGTAATTGCCTTCGGGGGTAGTTGTCCTCGGGGGGTAATTCTCCGGGGGGTAATTTTCCGGGGGGGTAATTGTCCTTGGGGGGTAATTGTCCTCGGGGGGTAATTCTCCGGGGGGTAATTTTCCGGGGGGTAATTGTCCTTGGGGGGTAATTGTCCTCGGGGGGTAATTCTCCGGGGGGTAAATTTCCAGGGGGTAATTGTCCTTGGGGGTAGTTTTCCGGGGGGTAATTTTCCGGGGGGTGATTGCCCAGGGGGTAATTGTCCTGATACGATACGGGATATATGACAAGGGTAGGAGTGAGCAAAACCAGCACCCCTATGCCTTCTACAACCCCGATGTGGCATTCCTTAAATATACACACACAACATTTGTTTACTTGTTCGCGATTCTTCAGGCAATTGCCTATCCCTTCTGTTCATCATCATCTAGTGCCGTCCCTTCGGAACGTGTTGGTGGCTATGCACCTCCATCGCTGTTCTGTCATGTACCCTTGTTCTATCCTATTGTCCGCCTTACAGTTATCTCCTGTATTAACATCTTAACATTCGTCAGTCTACTGTCAATGTCTTGTTGATGACAGCTAGCAAAATAATTATTCTTACCAAGTGCATGATCCGAGATCCGCCACTTTCCATAGTCCGGATTCGAATGTAGTCTCTATCACGGACATCATCCGGACCAGCATGTTCTTGGTCTAGATAATATATCATCAAATAATGTATAGTCTAAAGTTATTCATTGTAAAATAATGTTTTATGAAATTGTTGCACTAAAATAGGGTGATGTATCATGGAATGGTGTATTATGAAAGAAGCTTAAAGTATCGATAAATAAATTGAGGCATGTATGTACCTCGTTCAAATTCACATGCCATAGTGAGAAATAAATCCATTCACTGTGCTTTGAAAACATTACAAAACTGCTCTAGCAATCGACCCGCCGGGGAAAAAAAAAAGCTTCCAAACTTTCCAGATGCACATGTACATAATACGCCAAATGTTTTCGTAAGTAAATTCAAGATTTTATATTTGTAATTGAAATTACAAAGGGGTGAAGGGTGTTAGCGGCATTGCGAGAAGTAACGAATACAAAAGTGCTCGTTTGTTGTGTTGTTTGTATATACATGACGGAGGGGTGGGGGTAGAGTAGATGAGTACGCTATTGACAACTGTTACTACTGTCTCTAATGCTATATTCATGTTGATTAATCAAAATACTTGAGTATGCAGGGGCGTTTCTAGAAATTGCTAAACGGTGGATGCACATTCTTGCCCAGACCCGGAGAAGGGGTGAAATAATGGGCGAATTATACATGAAGGTGTTATGACCATGTGCGTGTGCCACAAACACTATATTTCTTTTTTTCTTTGGGGGCGTGTTGCCTTTATCTGAACATTCAACCGGAAAAGGGCAGATTATGACGGCTGCATCCTTTACTGGTTACGCCACTGATGGGCCTCACTCTTTATACCAGTAACCTACATTGTTGGAAGAGTTGTACCCCTGGGGTAACAGGTTGATACGTCCCTGTCTCATTCATTGATGACTTGACAATCAGAGCTACTTGACACCCATCAGATACCTGCATAATCATAATAAACAAAACCTTATTGTGAAGTCGTATTAGCTTCGGCAAGACCACTGTCGTATATGATAAACAAACATCTTCTGTTTTCCGAATTAAGTCTTTTTGAGACTCAGGGATTATTCATTTGTGTAGATCATTTTAAAGACCTGCAAGTGGCATCCTGATATCAATTGGAACCAATTTCTGTATATACTATAGTTATGACAGGAACAATGAGTAATTCTTAATCCGAAACACGAAATAATTTGGAGCATAAACAATCTTCATCATGCTAAAAAGAAAGGAAATCGCATTTAAAAAATATCATCCGGAGATATATTAATCTTCTATCTACCATATGAACAGGTTCACCACTAGAGGGAGTATGGATTTGTTACCCAAACCCTCGTCACAAAAAGGTCGGCAGACATTGCAGATGTGAAACAGTCGATGGCAATGTTGTGATTGTTTTCTCCAGCTTGGGACCCGGATGTGTACGGTAACATAGAGCTATAAAAGTTGTAGTATTTCTTTACCCCGTAAGTCTTGATTGTATTGATGAATAAACCCTTGGTGTTCCCAATGGTTTTGTTCAATTCGTCTCGATCTTTCAGGATTCTCTCCTCCCCACCGGGATGGTACCACACTATAAAAAAAAAAAAAAAAGATGTTGATGTCAGGTTTACATCTAGTGATTTACATGAATGCATGAGTAGGAGCTAAAATACTGTCGAGGTGTCATATGGTTTGCGGTTAGAATCTTGTCACGGCACTAATGTCCTTTGTCAAGACTTTAAACTACATTTGAAATTATCCTTCGATGTATTAAAAAAGCACCCGGTAAGATGCGAACGTAAATGTGGTCGGCTGAAATACTCCCCATGGAGCAGAGCGTGTGCACTATCATATGCAGATCAGCAATTGAATCCAGTGACTGAGGTACTAATAACTACACGTGAAGCGCTTAGAACCGTAATAGTATGCGCTTTAGAAATGAGACTACTTTCCTCATGATGCAAACATGTTCAATTTCTTTGTCTTGCATTTAAGGAAGCATAATGTTAGCAATAATAAACCGAAAGCCAGAATCTGACAAAATAATCGGAAGCTAAGGGAACAAAGCGAGAGAGACTAGCGTGTAAATACATGTATAACAGGGGCGCCTATCAGGGGATCCTATCTTTGCGATGCTATTCTATTCTATCCTATGTGCTAATGAGGACTGTAAGCCCCCCTTCTGAAGTGGCCTAAGGTTTCTGAAAACTTTAAGAAAGTCGAGGATCAATGGCATACTCACGAAGATCCATCTCATGAGCTCTGTTCTGTTGTACAATGTGGCTGTTCCTGTAAGCAGCGTCCAGTATCTTCTGCTTGACTTGAGTCATGCAATCAACATCTAGAACTTTGACGTAGTACTTGTGGTGCCTGTCCCTGCCCACTACTGACAAGGTCTGTGAAAATATTCCAATGTAATCGGTAAGTATGAGTCATTTTATCAATCACCAGTAAGTCTCGACCGTAATATTTTTTTTAAGTCTAAGCGACATGAAACAACCATTTATTTTATTGTATCTGTTACAGGTCCTGCATTCACATTATCGTTAAAAAAAAACGTACTAATTGTACCGTAATTGTATATCTTTCCACGTTGATTTCGCAAGCTTTATAGTTCTCACATCACCATCATTTTCATCAACAACAACCAATGATCACTTTTAAGGGATCGGGTATCTAACTTTCTCTCTTTCTCTCTCCAAGTCTAAATTAACCATTATTAATGCAATGTTTGCCTCTTACAATGCCTTGACCTTTCAAATTGACTTGTTTGAAAACCATCATCATCATCATTATACATCAAGAACTAACTGCAGTTATCACACCAAACAAGACCCCGTTCAAGCGTAGGTTTAACTTTGCTAAGGCAGACTGGCCTGCTTTCACCAAACACCTTGATCATGCCCTAACACATCTCACTGCAGATCCAAAGAATTATGAATCCTTCATAGACATAGTCAAGAAGGTGTCACGTAGACATATCCCAAGAGGCTGCCGCACGACATACATTCCAGGCATCGATGAGGAACCAAGTCAGTTTCTGGCAAACTACACCACAGCCTACGACACAGATCCCTTCTCAGAGGACACCATCAACCTTGGAAAAGAGCTCATATCAAGGATATATCAACTACATAGGCAGATGTGGCAGCAAATGATTGAAACGACAGCACACAGTAGCAGGAAAGCGTGGGCCATCATACGCAAACTCGGAATTGACAGCACCAAAGCTAAACAGCATTATAACGTTACGGCAGACCAAGTAGCATAACAGCTGTTGAAAAATGGAAAGGCCCCCAAGACGACTAATTCGCACAGGCACAAACTACCTGGAGTTGACCAGAACATGTCTCTTTTCACAAGACCTATTTCTGAAGAAGAACTACAGAAAGGTATCACCACGCTACAGGTCAACAAGGCGGCAGGCATCGATGACATCAGATCGGAGCAGATCAAACACATGGGCTCTGTAGCACAGAAATGGCTGTTAGACAACCTCATCACAGGTGTAGTGTTTGTGGATTTATCTGCGGCTTATGACGCTGTCAATCACCAATGGCTACAGACAAAACTTCATGAGATCACACATGACCTCAAACTCACCAGATTCATCCAGAAGATGATGCAGAACAGACGCTTCTTTTTGTCGAACTTGATGGGCAGAAGAGCAGATGGCGGAAACAGAAAAAGTAGGTGACGTCACGCTATGAAAGCTACAGGTTGTGCCGCTTAAAACTTGCTGATAAAATCCGTCGAAACCTCATCGATCCGTGATGTTTTACACCCGGAAATATCAGAACTAGCATGAGTAACCGTCGACACAACAAACCATTGGAAAGGGAGCCTTATTCTCTTCGTCAAAAACACGGAAAGCGAGATTTAACATCTTCCCAACCTAGCAGCGGTGCCGCACAGAAAACAGCAACCCAAATCGCAGAACAAAGCTCACGCCCTGTTAAGGACGACATTATGGCGTCGAATAGTGAGTCTGTTAGTCGCACTGAATTCCTTGAATCTATTAACAAAATTATAGAGAAACTTGATAGTGTTAATTTGAATGTAACATCAATGAGGAGTGAGATAGCAGAAATCCGTAAGACGCTAGCCGATGTGGAAACTGCGGCCACGGACACAGCAGCAAGGCTGACCACCATAGAAAATGTCACTTTGCCTAAAATGGAGGGGAAAAGGAAAGAATCTGAAAGTGAGTTGAGAGAGATTATTCTTGCTATGGAGATTCATGACAGGAAGATGAATTTGTTAATGTACGGCGTCGCAAAAAGCAACGATGAATGTGTGGCTAATGTTGTTCGGAAGAGCTTTGAGGAGATTGGGTTTACACATGAGGAAGCTCAAAACGTCATAATTGTGAATACACATCGACTTCCTCGACGGCCGTTTCAGCACGTTCAAGGAGAGGAGCAAAGGATGCCTACACCTGATCCCATCATAGTTCGGTTTGCCATCGCGCCTGATCGCGACGCGGTCTTGTCAGCGTACCAGAAGTTGCAAAAACCGGATACAACGAGGAATCAAGGAGCACCCCGCCCTGCTCGCCCAGCGTTTAGAATAGTTACTGATCTACCTGCAAAGTTAAAGAAAGAGCGGTTCTTGTTAAAGCCCCAGTCCCATATAAAGCCGGACCAGCACGGACGAGCACGGACCACTCCGGACCATCCCGGACCATGGTCTAGGGTGATCCGGGATGGTCCGGGATGTTTTGTTCAAAAAAGTGTGATGCTTTTAAGCTACAGTCCCATATACGTCCCGGACCGTCCCGGACCATCCCGGACCCCATCCGGGGTGATCCGGGATTCGGTCCGTGTTGACACCGTGTTGGCACCGGGGTGGTCCTGGATGGTCCTGGATGGTCCTGGATGGTCCTGGATGGTCCTGGGCGGTCAATAACTCACTCCCGGACTGCCACGGATCAGCACGGACCGCCCCGGCGCCACTACGGATGACCCCGGACCCAGCACGGTGGCTACACGGATCACCCCGGATCAAACTATTGTCCCGGACCGTCCCGGACCACCCCGGCAGTTTTTGACCGTCAAAAACTGCCGGGGTGGTCCGGGACGGTCCGGGACAATAGTTTGATCCGGGGTGATCCGTGTAGCCACCGTGCTGGGTCCGGGGTCATCCGTAGTGGCGCCGGGGCGGTCCGTGTTGATCCGTGGCAGTCCGGGAGTGAGTTATTGACCGTCCAGGACCATCCAGGACCATCCAGGACCACCCCGGTGCCAACACGGTGTCAACACGGACCGAATCCCGGATCACCCAGGATGGGGTCCGGGATGGTCCGGGATGGTCCGGGACGTATATGGGACTGTAGCTTTTAAAGCATCACACTTTTTTGAACAAAACATCCCGGACCATCCCGGATCACCCCAGACCATGGTCCGGGATGGTCCGGAGTGGTCCGTGCTCGTCCGTGCTGGTCCGGCTTTATATGGGACTGGGGCTTTAGCTACAGTCCCATATACGTCCCGGACCGTCCCGGACCATCCCGGACCCCATCCGGGGTGATCCGGGATTCGGTCCGTGTTGACACCGTGTTGGCACCGGGGTGGTCCTGGATGGTCCTGGATGGTCCTGGATGGTCCTGGATGGTCCTGGGCGGTCCGGGAGTCGACCCCGGATGTTTTTGACGGTCAAAAACTGCCGGGGTGGTCCGGGACGGTCCGGGACAAAAGTTTGATCCGGGGTGATCCGTGTAGCCACCGTGCTGGGTCCGGGGTCATCCGTAGTGGCGCCGGGGCGGTCCGTGTTGATCCGTGGCAGTCCGGGAGTGAGTTATTGACCGCCCAGGACCATCCAGGACTATCCAGGACCATCCAGGACCATCCAGGACCACCCCGGTGCCAACACGGTGTCAACACGGACCGAATCCCGGATCACCCCGGATGGGGTCCGGGATGGTCCGGGACGGTCCGGGACGTATATGGGACTGTAGCTTTTAAGCATCACACTTTTTTTAACAAAACATCCCGGACCATCCCGGATCACCCCAGACCATGGTCCGGGATGGTCCGGAGTGGTCCGTGCTCGTCCGTGCTGGTCCGGCTTTATATGGGACTGGGGCTTTAGAGAAAACAGCGTATCAAATCAGACGAAATGATCATAAATCAACCAGAATCCGGCTGGTGGGCACCAAGTTGCGACTAGAAAGTAGAGAAAAGGGAACAGCAATGGCATGGAGGCAAGTGGTTGATTAAAGTACAAAAATGCTTTAAGCATAATGTCAAACAGAATTCACTGAAGAAAAGAAAACACCTTACATTTCGACATTGTAAGATTAATGAAACTGTCCTGAAATGAGGATTACATGAGCCATAATTATGTCAGGAGGCAAAGGATCGATTTTTGTTTTCTTTCTTGTTTTTGCCTTCGGAGAAAATAAATCGGAATAAGTCTTCCTCAGAAAAGAAAATAGACAAGTGTGAATGTTTGTTCTACATAATGTATGCCAGTTCGAAATACCTGCAGAAGAATACATAAGAAGTGAATATTAATGCTGTGTATACACTGAATCGGATTTGTGCGGTTTTTTGTTTGTTTCCTGTTATAAATATGAACGAGATTTCGAGTACCTATGACTTGTGAGGCGGTAACCTTCAATTGAATCTTATAGGACGACTCAGCATTTAATGTCAAGCACCCACGACACTGGAGAAATGAATAATACCTTGTCCTTATTTGAGAATACTATACAAAATGACTTTCAAGAATTTGAATTCTCTGGATTTTTATTTTTTTCATTTTAAAAAGTAAATACTGAATTTCTTGTTCGTCAGTGCTGAAAGAAATGACTTTATTCATTGAATTTATTGAATTAGTTCTTTCGTAAAAAAGCGATGTGTATCGATACAGCACTATTCTTTTTGTTAAGTGATAATATATAGATATTTTGGAAAGATATGAGATCATATAAATTGATTTCTCCTTATGCTGTGAAGCACCAGTAATACTATAAAATTTCGAATAAGGTAGCAAGTATTGCAAATCTGAATGTGAGTGTTTAAATTTGATATATCTTTGATTTTGTAATGTAATCAATATATCAGGGTAAAGTAAAACAATCAGCAACTTCTGTGACAAAGATCAAGATCATAAAAGAGTACCCATCGTTTGCTCGTGTTATATATATAATATACAACTTATGTGTTTAGTACTTATTGGTGTTGCTATTGGCTGGATGCCTAAAGACTGATGTTGAGTACTCGTGTGTGTCTATTACATAATCTGCTAAAGATTTACATGTAATAAGAATAGATATAAGAGCATTTTTAATCATCTTTTTCCTTGTTATTATGGATGCATATAAGAAAAATGACAAATATTCTTGAACGAAGCTGAATGTTTTGTTCTCTTGTACCTCCGGAAAAAGGTACGA